GAGGAAAACAAAGCCATTTCCTTAGAAACAGTTGTATTTAAGTTAACTACTTGATATCTCAGTCAGATCTAGACATAATTATAAATATGCAGGGGTACCTGAGTGGCTCAGTTGATTAAGCATCCGACTCTTGGTTTTGGCCCAGGTCATGATCTCATGGGATTGAGCCCCTGTCCCACACCATGCTCAGTGGGGAAGCTGCTTAGAGATTCTCTCCCTCTGCCCCCCCACTCGTTCTCTCTCTATGTATATAATAAATAAATAAACCTTAAAATATATATAGATATGCAGATATAGATCTAGATGTGAATATCCATAGAGATATGTACATTATTAATTATAAGTTAGTCTTCACAGTGGCCTACTGCTTGCTCACTGCTAAGCAACCTCAATATAGGAAGAGTAGGAAATTGAAATCTGTGTCTAATAAAATATGACATACCTTTTCACAAAGTAAATTTACAAAAAGATTAATTTGAACTGGATTTGCAGGAATGATTTACATGAATTGACATCAATTGTGGTCAGAAATGGCATAAGGAAATCAACCATCTGCAGGGTCCCCAAATTATTTTTTTTTTAAAGATTTTATTTATTTATTTGACAGAGAGAGAGAGAGACAGTGAGAGAGGGAACACAAGCAGGGGGAGTGGGAGAGGGAGAAGCAGGCCTCCCGCCGAGCAGGGAGCCTGATGTGGGACTCGATCCCAGGACCCTGGGATCATGACCTGAGCCGAAGGCAGACGCTTAATGACTGAGCCACCCAGGCGCCCGGGTCCCCAAATTATAAATCATGTCATACCTACAGCAAAATGTTGCAGATAAATCACAGTGAGAAATGCCACAATAAATCTCAGACCTTTGAACTAAAAGCAATTTGTCTGACTTTGCAAATGATATAAAATATTGCCTTCAGTTTTGTACACTTTCAAATGCCACATTGTGTGGTAATCAGAGATGAGTAATAGGAATAAATACAGCTTGAAGTTATGATATAACAGGAGTGAATCAAATGTTTTTGTCCTTAGTTAACTAAATAAAAGGGGGCTAGGTTAGGATTATGTTCAGCAATAAGCACAGAAAACTAATAGTGGCTTAAACATACAGAGATTTATTTGTCTCAGGCAACAAGAGGCCTGGAGGTAGGCAATCCAGAGCCTTAAAAGAGTCTCAATTAAGTCTTAGAGAAGGGTCTTTCCATCTCTCCCCTGCGTATCATTAGCAAATAGATCTTCATCTTCATACTTCTGATCTCATGGTTGCAAGAGGGTTGCTCTACCCCTAATCTCACATCCACATTCCAGACAGGAAGAAGGAGAAAGAGAAAAGGAGGAACTAGCAGTACCTGTATCAGGAGAACAAAGGTTTCCTAAATCCCTGGCTGATTTCTATTTACTCCATGGCCAGAACTGTGTCCCGTGGCCACCTCACCAGCAAAAAAGGTACGGAAAGATAGATATTTCTTGGTAGCACATTGTCAGTTTAAACAAAGTTAGGGTTCTGTTAGTAAGGAAGAGGGAGAAGAATGTATATTCAGTAACCAACAAGGAGCAGATGCGTTATAAAGGCTGTAGAGAGAGGGAAGAGAACTTCAGAGATAATAAAACTTTGAGAAACAAGTGCTTTTGGGGGCAGGTGAAAGAAAATGGATCATCATAGGACAGAGAGCAAAAGGACCTAGAGATTTAAAAGGAAAATAGGAATATTGTTAAAAGAGTTATCCAAGTTTTGCAATATTATTAGGTTTGCATAATGTTATGGCGCATTTCTAAATTACTTTTAAATATGAGGAAGATCATTACATTATGATTCCATAAGTCATGGCTATCTGATAATTGACATTAACATTCCTTTTCAAATGGAGCATTGATAAATACAAAAAAAAGATAGTGTAGGTTCCTGGGGCAGATGTCTGGGGCTAAAGAAAGGAGGAAATAAATGGGTGTCCAATTTTCTACAAACACCAGATGCTGTAACAATTCTATAAGTGGTAATACATTAGATTACTTCAACATGTCAAAAAGGAAATTATTGCATAGCCAGCTGATGTGTCTCTTTAAACACATGTTTCATCCTCCTGAAGAAAAACTTTTCCCTCTATGAACGCCATTTCATAGCCACAATAATAACAACTTTTTTTGGTGTTATACAGTGTTTTTTTTTTAAACAGCTGTTCTTCAAAATGTGATCCATATGATAAATAACCTCATCTGAACCAAATCAGAAATTGATTAAACTTGTGTCTCCCAAATCTAATGATGACATGTGAATTTCCTTGCATGTTGAATGCGAATCATTGTTGCTAGCAAATGTGTTTTGATTGAAGATCATTTTGATGGCTAAAATTCCAAAGTCTCATGTTTAGTTTCAACACTAAAAAGGAGGGCGCCTGGGTGGCTCAGTTGTTAAGTGTCTGTCTTCGGCTCAGGTCATGATCCCAGGGTCCTGGGATTGAGCCCCGCATTGGGCTCCCTGCTCTGCAGGGGGCCTGCTTCTCCCTCTCCCGCTCCCCCTGCTTGTGTTCTTGCTCTTGCGCTCTCTCTCTGTCAAATAAATAAATAAAATCTTTAAAAAAAAAAAACCACTAAAAAGGAGAAATTTGCTTAAACTTTCATATAAATCTGTCTTGGGTTAATGTGAACTTAAAAACAAAATTAATAGAGAAGATAATGTAGTATTTGCAGTGTTATTTGAAACATAATTTTTTTCTTTTTAAAACAGATAAAATTCTTTGATACAACTATTTCTAATGCCAGTATTTTATATCAACTAAAATAAGCCACATCCATTTAATTCCATAATTTAACATTTTTCTCATTTGGAAGGAAATATGCTTTATCGTCTTTATACTTCCATTTATTTTATGGGAACTACAATTTCAAAAAACAAAAAGTAATAATACAAAGTGTCGTTCATTTCTCTTCCTTTAGTATAATAACTAGCTGTGGGAAATATTTTACTTATTTATCAGAAAACAATCTGAATTTCTCTTATCTTCAGTGTAGCTGATGTTAAAATATTGCCTTATACACTAAAATGGAAAATAGTTAAGTATCAAGATAAGTAAACAATAATTCCATTCCAGTGGCCTTTCTCCATTTCCTCTGAGTTCCAGGCTGTTCTTCTCTTTGCCCTTCCTAAAGAGGAACTAGCTTTCATAATATACAGGATAATCTTGACCCTGGAAAATGAATCTAAAGGTCTTTAGAGGGCTTCCGGGCAGTCTTGTGCTCCACCTAATTACTAATTCATTCAGGACATCTACAGTGAGCACTCACTACTAATTGAAGATTGGGGATATAAAGGGAACCTAGTAATAATCCCTGAGATTAAGGAGTTTATGGTGGTGGCCAGTGAGAGTCAGGTGGGATAGTAGGTAGTTTTAAAATAAGGTGATGTAAGTCTAAATTCAGGGGATGACAAGGTGCTATTGGAACGTATAGAAAGGACAATTAGCTCAGTCTTAAGGACATTCAATAAAGCTTCTTGGGGAAGGTAATGGCTGGTTGAAACCAAAGGTCAGTGAGGATTTAGCTCGGGAAAATTAGTTGGAAGAAGAGCATCATAGACAAAGTTATGTGGAAATGCTCAGAAAAGAAAGAACATGCCATATCCTGGATGCTGACAGTGTGGTTCAATCCAGATAGAGCACGGTGTGAGTGAGATCATGTGAAAATAAGAAGCTACAGAAGTAAACAAGACTAAATTTCAATGGGCTTAAAGTACCATATCCTCCTCCAAGAAATGTTTTGTTTGGTTTTCTAAGCTGGTAATAGGAATTAGAATCACTATTGAACTCCCTGCTATTTATTAAAACACAACAATTACTAGGATATCAGTAAATATCTGTAATTATATGGTAGGTTTTCTTATTTATATAGAATGGTTATTTCCAGAGTTTAAAGAATTAAAGGAGAGGGGGTTGTAATTACCAGTTTTAGCGTGAGCCATTTAGAGAAATTGTACCTCCTTAATATTATAGTAAAACACTAAGGGAAAATATTATATGAGACAGTAAAGGCAATAGCAAATAACAAAATAATGAAAATAGTGTATACTGTTCTAATGTGAATATAGTAAAAAAAATTTTTTTTTAATTTAGCCATTTCTCAAAACAAATGAATATCACAAAGAAAGGTATTAGCAGTAAAATTAAGATTGGGAATATTTAATTCAGCCTTCACACATACTATTTACTAGACACTTGGGAGGAAGGTTCATTTATTTTGACAAAATGGCCAGCAATTCTCTATACTACTGGAAATTTTAGCTGAGGTCAAAATTGTAAATGGAAATAACTTCTCAGAGAACAATTCAGTAGTATTGCTTTGCTTTGCTTTAATATGCCATGAAGAATGTGCTTCCAAAATATAAAATCTTGGATTGCTGGGCAAAAAGTAGGGAAGGATGATATTGTCCACGCATAAGAGGGTTTTGGGTTTTTTTTTAAGATTTAATTTATTTGTTTGACAGAGTGAGAAAGAGAGCACAAGCAGGGGGAGCAGAAAAGAGAGAAGCAGGCTCCCCGCTGAGCAGGGAGCCGCCCCAGGCAGGGCTCAATCCCAGGACCCTGGGATTATGACCTGAGCCGAAGGCATTCACTTAACCAACTGAGCCACCCAGGCGCCCGGCATAGGAGTTTAAAAGCTAAAGCTATGTTAAACTCCTCGCAAAAATGAATATTGAAAACTTCAGGGTGGTTCATTTATTCTGAGAATGCTCTGTCCTGTGAGAACTCTGGTCTGTGTTTCGACAATTTGCCAAGCTTCTCTTGGCGACCCATCCTTTTTGTTTTATTTTGTTTTGCTTGTCTTCTCTTTATCAAATCTACGTGGAAAAACCACATTCAGGTGTAGTGGCAGTAAAACAAAACCCTGGAAACAGAGACATCTTTGTACTTCGGAATCCCCGTCCGAAGACAATACGCAAGAGCACTAAGTATGAGCTGCTGGGCACCCGTAGCTCAGATTCTCCGGTTCAGGCACCGGCACCGGAAGTAGCCGGCCTGTTTGACTTCCGCTCCCGGAGTATGAGCTCCTGGGGTTCGCCCACTGGTTGTCAGTAACGCACTAGGAGTTCGAGAGTATGGAGGCAGCGCGCCCTCCCTCGACGACGGGGAAGTTTGTGGTGGTCGGTGGTGGCATCGCGGGTGTCACCTGTGCTGAGCAGGTAGGCTGGCTTCCCCGACCCCGGAGGCGGCACCCTCCTGCCCTTCGCCCATGTCCCTCATTAGCCGCTTCCTTCCCCCCCCCCCCCCCCGCACTCCTTGCTTTCAAATGTTAGAGACTGCGTGGTGGCCCTTGGACGAGGTTCTTAGTACCTGTCAAGCTTAGCCTTGGGCATAGGGAGGAGTGGGAGCAAGGTTTTGGGAGGGGAACCCCAAAGCTGACTGAACCAGACTCTGGTCCTAGTTATGTCAGAGCAGCAAAAGGGCGGGGCGCCTGGGTGGCACATTCGTTGGGCGTCTGCCTTGGGCTCAGGTCATGGTCCCAGGGTCCTGAGATCGAGCCCCGCATCGGGCTCCCTGCTCAGCGGGAAGCCTTCTTCTCCCTCTCCACTCCCCCTGCTTGTGTTCCCTCTCCCTCTGTCAAATAAATTTTAAAAATCATAAACAGCAAGAGGGCTTAAAACTAATAGGTACTTGTTCAGAAAATTCAGCCCCCTTTCTTAATTAGCTGATGGAATTCAGCTTCCAGGTAAATGCCAGGTCCTTAGTTCATCGTTCATCGTAAATAACTGATAAACTCTTACGTTTTCTCCTACACTTTCTCCTATATTTCTATCCTATACAAGGTAGAAGAGATTTCATCTCTAGTAATGTTTTGTAAAACAACGAGCAAGTTATTAAATGTAGGTGGGGAGTGCTTTTCTTTTTCTAATGAATAATCAGACCCCCCCACATACACTCTCTCTCTCTTTCTCTCTCTCTCTCTCTCCAAAAAGGACTAGATTATTTTGTTGTTATAAAGTAAGCAGAAGCAATTATTGAAGTCACAGAAGAAGTGCAAGAAATTCAAGAGTTGTTTTTTTTTTTTTTACAAACTTTTAATTTTTAGGTGTGTTTTTTCCATTTTTTCACCAAGTAAACACCTATGATCCAGGCATTGTACTAAGGGCTGATTAGTTATGTATAAACAAAGCATGCTACCTCCTTTTTTAAAACTCACGATCTAGTGGAAGAGACATGTAAATCAATCATTCCAATTTAGGGGTGCCTGTGGAGTTGGCAGGGTGTAAATTGGGGAGGGGGAGTCCTTTTGTCTCAGTATAGAAGATTGAGTAAAAGTTCACAAGGTAGACAAAAACCAGAGGGTGCTAAGGGAGGCAAGGATATAATCTCATGTGGAAGAGCATGGCATTACCTGAGAGCAGCAAAGCTCAAAGTAGGTGGTGTTTGGGGGAGGTGACCAGAGATGAAGGTAGGAAGGTTGGCAGAGACCAGATCGTAAAGGGTCATATAAGTCTTGATAAGAATTTAACAAGAACTTGCAGGTAGTAAGATGATTTGGAGTAGTGGCCTAATGTGGTCAAATGAAATATTTTGAGAGGTGATTTGTTCCAAAGTGTTTGGGGCAAGGGCAGCTGGTTAAAATGAGACTGGAAGGCCAATTGGAAGGTGAATTTAGTACTATAAAGAAATTTTGAGGGCCAGGTGTAGCAATGCAAACAAAGTGGGGAAAGAAATTACAGAATATACAAAGAAAAGAAAGGTGGAGAGATTGGTAATATTATCAAGTATTATAGAAAGTTCAAATAAGGTGATGTTAAGAAGAATCTGATGGGTTTTAAGGATGTATAGGTGAATTGAAGATGTTCTTTTTTTCCTTATTGGATTATTGACATTCAATATTGTCTTAGGTGTATGTCATAGTGATTGGATATACATTATGAAATGGGCACCTCAATAGGCATAATTACCCTCTGTCACTATACAAAGTTATTACAATATTATTGACTATATTCTCTATGGTGTACATTACATCCCTACGACTTACTTATTTTATAACTGGAGGTTTGTTCCTTTTAATCCCTTAATATATTTTGCCCAACTCCCCTCCACCCCTAACCCCTTTCCACTCTGGTAATCAACAGTTTGTTTCCTGTATTTATGAGTCTCTTTTGCTTTGTTTGTTTTGTTGTTTAGTTTCCACAAATAAGTGAAATCATATAGTATTTGTCTTTCTCTGACTTATTTCACTTAATATAATACTCTCTGGGTCCATTCATATTGTCACAAAGGACAAGATTTCTTTTATAGCTGAATAATATTTCATTGAATATATTTATACCACATCTTTTTTATCTGTTCATCTATTAGTGGACAATTAGGTTGCTTCCATATCTTGGCTGTTGTAAATAATGCTGCAGTGAACATAGGAGTGCATATATCTCTTTAAACTGGTGTTTCGGTTTTCTTCTCGTAAATACCTAGAAGTGGAATTGCTGAATCATATGGTAGTTCTATTTTTAATTTTTTGAGGAACCTCCATACTGTTTTCCATAGGCGATGCACTATTTTACATTCCCAACAACAGTGTACAATCTTTCCCTTTTTTCCACATCCTCAAGAACACTTGTTATTTCTTACCTTTTTGATAATAGCCAATTGGACAGTTGTGAGGTGATAGCTCATTGTGGTTTTGATTTGCATTTCCCTGATGATTAGTGACATTGAGCATGTTTTCATGTGTTTATTGGCCATCTGTATGTCTTCTTTGGAAAAATGTCTTTTCAAGTTCTGCCCATTTTTAAATTTTTTTATATTAAGTTGTTTAATTTTTTATTGTATTTTTGATATTAACCCCAATTGGATATGTGACTAGCAAATATTGTCTCCCATTCAGTAGGTTGTCCTTTTGTTTTGTTGATGGTTTCCTTTTCTCTGCAAAAGCTTTTTAGTTTGATTTAATTTCATTTGTTTTAGCTTTTTAGCCTTTTGTTTTACCTTGCCTGAAGAAAATGGTTCAAAAAATATTGCTAAGATTGGTGTCAAAGAGCTTACTGCTTATGTTTTCTTCTAGGAGTTTTATGGTTTCATGTCTTATATTCAAGTCTTTAATCCATTTTGAATTTATTTTTGTATACTGCGTAAGACAGTGGTCCAGTTTCATTCTTTGGCATGTAAGCTGTCCAGTTTTCCCAACATTATTTATGAAGAGACTTTTTTCCCCCATTGTGTATTCTTACCTCCTTTATCAGAGATTAATTGACCATCTATGTGTGGGCTTATATATGGGCTTTCTGTTCCATTCCATCGATCTGTGTGTCCGTTTTTGTGCCAGTGCCATACTGTTTTGATCACTACAGCTTTGTAGTAGGGGTTTGAAATCAGGGAGCATAATACCTCCAGCTTTGTTCTTTCTCAAGATTGCTTTGCTATTTGGGGTCTTCTGCAGTTCCACACAAATTTTAGAATTCTTCCTTCCAGTTCTGTGAAAAATGCCACTGGTATTTTGATGGGGATTGCATTGAATCTGTAGATTGCTTTGGGTAGTATGGACATTTTAACAATATTAAATTCATGAGCATGATAGATCTTTCCATTTATTTATGTCTTCCTAAATTTCTTTTGTCAGTGGCTTATAGTTTTCAGAATGTAGGTCTTTCACTTCTTTGCTTAAATTTATTCCTAGGTATTTTATTCTTTTTGATTCAGTTGTAAATGGGATTATTTTCTTAATTTCTCTTTCTGATAGCTCATTATTAGTGTATAGAAACTCGACCACTTTTTGTGCATCAATTTTGTATCCTGAAATTTTACTGAATTCGTTTGTTTATTCTGATAGTTTTTTGGCTGAATGTGCTCAGTTTTAATGGTGTAGTAGGGAAAGAAATAGAACTTGGTGGAGTTGAGGAACCAGAGTATGGTTTAAGAAAATTCTTTCAAGTGGCACCTGAGTGGCTCAGTTGGTTAAGCGTCTGCCTTCGGCTCAGGTCATGATCCCAGGAGAGCCCTGCATCAGGCTCCCTGCTCAGCGGGGAGCCTGCTTCTCCCTCTCCCTCTGTCTCCTGCCTTATGCTCTCACTCTCCCTCTGTCAAATAAATAAATAAAATCTTAAAAAAAAAATTCTTTGAAGTTTAAAGTGAGAGAAAGGTTGTATGCCGGAGGAAAATCATGAAAAAAAGAGCAAGTTAAGCCTCTAAATTCTGTTGAAGCTACTACTAAAATGGTTTTGTTTTCCCAGAGTGTATACTGGTTGGGCATTTGGAAGAGGCAGAATAGCAATGCCAGAACACTTGGGAAAAGTCAGGCTAAGATTCTGAGTATTTATTAGTAAGGATTTGCTCTAATATAATCCTACGGCAGGGAAGTGAAAATATTATTTTAAAATAAATAGGAGTTTGTTTAACTGTTATTTAGGAAAATATTTTCTTCTCATTCTCTGCATGACAACTTTAAATTGGTATATAATGTAGTTTAAGTAAATAAGGAATACCTCTTTGTATCATTTTTCTTGTTCAGGAGGCTTTGTTAGTGTTTAGTGTAAATGTATTACTTGTTTTATCAGTATCAGAGTTGGACATTACTCACCACTACCCCATAAATAAGAAGACACAGAATAATGGAGACCTTTAGATGAGGAAAAGTGAGTTTATGGTTTCCTAGGTTAATAACATTATTAAAATTGCATTATCCCTGTCTCACCCTCCATGGCATATATATTAATACCTAAAGTACCTAAAGTTATTTATCATGTATTTTCTCCCAACTTTTTTTTTTTTAATAAGTTGGCTATTCAGTTTCCATCAGAAGATATTCTCCTGGTAACAGCTTCTCCTGTTATTAAAGCGGTTACAAATTTCAAGCAGGTAAGAACTTTTGTATAACTTTCTTAGTATTAATGTTTTTAAATTTCAGTAACTTGCCTAGTAGTGTAATTATAGTTTTTAAATGTTTAAAATGACAAATGTTCTTTTGATAGTCATTTTAAAATCAAAGCTCAAAGTTTAGAATTATTTTGAATACTGAAAGCACCCAAATGATGTTTAATTTTTAGACCTTTATTTTCTTCCCATCTTTTCCTCCCACTCAGAATTACTTTTCAGAAAATTTTAAAGTTCTTTTAAGGAAAAATGTATACAAATATAAATATGAATACAAATATATTTGGATATCATTTTATATATATATATGTGTATATACACAGCTGTATGTATACAGTTGTATACAGTTGTGCGTGAATAAATGTGTGTTTGCAAATCAGAAAAGTGCTTCTTGGCCAAGTTTACACTTGCAGATAATTAATGTTTCAGATGTGTAATAAGCATCTCAGAACACTTTGTAGTTCCATGAATTTACATGACACACATCATAACATTACATTAGGAGTCTGAAATCATTTGGATCATAGTATCATAGAAGAGTGATCTCTAAACATTTTTAAAGTGGTACCTCACATCAAAAAAGTTTTGATTTATGTCCTAATATGTGTATATTTACATATTATAAATTATGCCTATACTGTAGTGCTATAATTATGTTATAATGCCTATGCAAAATAATTAAGTAAATCTTTTGTTCCCATACTTCGGTGAAGAATACTACCATAGTCTTTAATACAAGTTTTCCCTTACATCCTGATAATAAAATAAAACTTTCTCATGTTGTAAGCTGCTAAGACCAAGGGTAATTTAGTGTAATATGTTGCTTGTTTATAACCTACTTAGAGATACGTAAGATATCTTACTACCTAGGTACAGCCGAAGGACTTATGGGATTGAGAGAACCAGATAATAAATTATGGCTATTAATCTCGTAAAAGAAAAAATATATATATTCAGTTATAGGCTAAGAGCACATACATAATACAAAGATGTATAGCTGGGTCTTATAAGTGTTTTTCCAGAAGACTGAATTTGGTGTAACTATTCCACAGTTGTAAGACTTGAGTTCAGTTTTGCTAATTTTGTAAATTTTGTACAATAGAAGAAAAAAAATCTTGGGTTCTAGGCCTAATTTATTTACCTAGCTGCATAGCCTTGGCAAATCTCTGTATCTCAGTTGCTTCACTTGTAATATTAAGATAATACCTTCCTTGCTTAGGAAGTACTAAGGTTGTATATGTTGGGAGTTTAAGACATACTAATATATGTGAAAGTACATTAGAGTAACAAATACTATGCAAATGTCAGTTCTTAAAATTCAGAAGTAGGAAATTGCATCCTTTTTATCATTTATTGAGCATTTATATTATATATCAACCAGTATGCTAGGTACCCAGTTACAGAGATTGAAAGTATAGAACATACACAAAAAATTACTATTGGTTATCTCTGGAGTCAGGGGACAGCAGTAATGGTGGGGTAGTGTGAGATTCAGAGAACGGTAAAGAGGCACATTTTATTTTATATTAGGTATTGTTTGTTTAATGTTAAAGGACATGTTTTTGTGGCTTCTGTAATTTCTAAAGAGAAAAAAGATTACTAATAATAACTCACATTACTTCTGGAGTATTTACTATGCACCAGACACTCTTCTAAATGTTTTAAATGTATTAATTTAATCCTTAAGTAACTCTGTGAAGTAGATTCATATATTATCCCCACTTACAGATGAGGTAAATGAGTCACAGTGAGGTTGGGTAAATTTCTGAGATGTGTATAGATAGGTTTTGAATACAGGCCCTTTGGCTCTATAGCCCTCATGGTTAATGAGTAGCACTTTCTCAGAATAATTCCTTTCTATTGGGGCAACAAATCTACAAGACATAGTTATCATACAATATGGTAATTATACTGATAGTGACAAAAAAATCAAAACTGAGGTCATATTGCAATATATGCATAATTATTTTTATAAATATATTATGAATGAGTGCCAAAGCCTGCCTTTGAGAATCCAGAAGGCTTTACATAGGAGGGTGCATTGAAACTGAGACTGAAAGAATAGTAGGTTTTCCCATGTTTGTAAGAGGTTTAGTAGAGGCAGGCATGTGCCAAAGTGCATGAAAGTATATTGCTATGTAATATGCTCTAACAGGTACCAATTCAGTGCTGCTGGAGTGTAAAGTGTGAGGTCGAACCAGTAGGCAGGGGCCAGACCATGATGGGCTTGTATGCTATGGTACGGAATTGTATTTTATCCAAATTTAGATGATGCCAAAGCTTTGGAGCATTTTCAGCAGGTGAGAACACTGAATTGGAGATAGAAATTTAGTATTCATCATCGTCTCGGTGTCAGCTGAGTCATACGCATGGGATGCAGTCTCCCAGGAAAAATACATACAGTGAAAGAGCCCAGCAGCAGTGTCCTGTGGAACACTGACATTTAAAGGAAGATCAGAGAGAACGGAAGACCTGAAAATGGCCAGCCTTATTAGTCTAGATTGAAGAGGAAAACTATGAAAAAGAAGTATCCCTGAAGCCATGGAAGGCAAACGTTTAATTAAGAGGAGTGGTCACAGGACGCCTGAGTGGCTCAGTCGGTTAAGCATCTGCCTTCAGCTCGGGTCATGATCCCAGGGTCCTGGGATCGAGTCCCGCATTGGGCTCCCTGCTTCTCCCTCTGCCTGCAGCTCCCCCTGCTTGTGCACGATCTCTCTCTTTCTCCTCTGACAAATAAATAAAATAAAATCTTTATTTAAAAAAAAAAAAAAAGAGGAGTGGTCAAAGACGTCCGATCCAAGGGAATAGTCAGACAAGACAAGGACTCAAAAGTGCCCATATCTAGTAAATCATTGGTGACTTTGAGACAGTTTACACTATCTTCAGAAATTAGTAGGGGGTAACTCTAAAATGACAGTAACCATAAACTTTTCTCTTTTGAAATTTAGCTGCAAAAGGAAAAAAGATGGGGTGGCAGCAAATAGAGGACATGAGGACTAGCATTAAGTTGAGTTTTAGTCTTTTAAGGTGGAAAACACTTTAGCATGTTTACCTGTTGAGATTAAGAAGCCAGTAGGAATGAAGATAAAGAAAAATAAGGAATACATAATAAAAGTCCTGAGAAGGTGAGAGATGATGGGATATAGAGCACAGATTACTGGATTCACCTTGAAAATAGAAATGGGTCAAGGAAGGCAGACTATAGCTGAGAAATGTATAGATGGTGGGAAAGAAGTAGTAAGAGTTCTTAGTAGTCTCTTTAAGCCTAGAGGTAAGGTGATTTGCTGGGAATGCAGAGGGTGGAATGTGTTTGTGAAACATTAGAATGATGAACTTTTGAAAAAATTACTGAGGGATGGAAGATGTTACTTGATGTTACTCTTCTCACTAAATTGACACTTGAGCCCCGATGGTATAAGAGCAATGGTGGCTAAACTGGGCTGGTGGTCATTGTATTCTTCACTGCACGCACTCAGTTAAATAAATTAGAGCCAGTAAAAAATGTTTTATTAAGTCCTGACTCATAAGCGTACGTGTTTTTAATACTCTGTATGATGAAATGGGTTGTAGGCATAAAGCACCTGTTCTACATACAGGAGTAGTGTTGTCTCAAGGAAAAGCAGTTGTGCTGTTGCTGAGTTGCAAGAGGAGCTAATTGCTCTTTTACGGACACCAGCTTTACTTGAAAGAACAACTGACACACTGTAGTAATTCATATTTGGAAAATGAGTGAAGTGAGCCTGTCACTTCAAGGAACACAGGTGATAGTACTTGTTGGCAACAGGACAAAATTAGAGCTTTCTAGCCAGAATTAGAACTTTGGGAAACTCATTTCCTCACTGTGAGCCTCGTGGTACTTAAAGACGTTTCTGATGAGATTGTTGGTGATAATAATGTGATCTTTTGGTATTGTAGTGATATAAAATGTGTTAACATTGGGCAGATCTCCGTAACTTAGGGAACCACTGTTAGCCAGATGACGAATGTGATGTTACAAGATCCATTCAAAGTGCAGGATAGACCAGTGGATTTCACAGGAACAGAGGATGAAAAATTCTTTGATATGGTTTCAAATTCTCCATTGCAACTAACCTTTAAGAAATCACGCTTGTTGAGTTTTAGTGTAACGTCAAAGAAGAATATACATTCTCTGAAAAGGCTGCATATACGTCAACCAGATTAACATATTGTAATAGTTTGAATGGAGAAGCACATCTTCTATTAAGACCAGACCATTAAAGATATTTGCAAAAATGTGAAACAGTGCCATTCTTCTCACTTAATTTCTTTTGTTTTGGAAAAAAAAAGTTATTTTTTATTAAAAGGATATATCTGTTTAACATGTTTTGGATTTATTATACTTCTTTTTTTTTTAAGATTTTATTTATTTATTTGACACAGAGAGAGTGAGCACAAGCAGGGAGAGTGGCAGGCAGAGGGAGAGGGAGAAGCAGACTCCCCACTGAGCAGGGAGTCTGACGTGGGGCTCGATCCCAGGACCTGAGATCATGACCTGAGCTGAAGGCAGACACTTAACCGACTGAGCCACCCAGGCGCCCCGGATTTATTATACTTCTAATTAAATTAAATATTTTACATTTTTCTCAGTTTTCATATCTAATGTAGCAGATATCACTGGGTTTAACTCACATGGACAAAAGTTCTTCGGGGTCCTCAGTCATCTGTAAGTGTATAAAGGGGTCTTGAGACTAAACAGTTTGAGAACCACTAGGGCCATATAGTAGGATTTCCCAGTAGTATTTAGGGGGCACCTGAGGTCAAATGCCAGTCTGCAAGGTGTGGTCCTTCCACAGCAGACTGGGTATAGGACTGGAAAAAGCAGGCAGTTCAGTCTGTGGTGGGGGGTTTTCAGGGTAATTAATGGTTAAAGAAAAGAAGGCAAGAAAGTAAAAGTTTGGGCAAAACATGAAATGATCTACAGTGGAGTCATGGCTGCACAGGAAGAGAAGTGAGTCCAAGAGGATGCTCTGGGGTTTAGACAACAGGAAAGAATCTAAAGGCTAGATCACAATAAAGTTGGCTAGTAAGTGGACAGAGAAAACTGTAAGGATAAGGGAATCAACAAGCTGTGGTAAAAGAATGCAGAAGTGAGTAGAGTCAGCCCTCATTTTCCAGGCTAGGAGACTAAGGCGCAGTGACCTGGCTGACTTGCCCGAGAGGTAGGACTAATATTTGAGTTCAAGTCTTAAAATGTGGAGTTAGCCCTCTTTACACTGTATATAGTGCAATTGGCCGACTTTGTTTTATGAATATGAAGTAGTGTATAAAAACAAATGAAAGTATTTTTATTATTTAAAATTTTTGAAATATTTTTTAAACATATATTTTTACCTTTCTGATCTAATACAGGTTTCTAAAGTATTGGAGGAGTTTGATGTTGAAGAGCAACCGAAAACCATGTTAGAAAATCGCTTTCCCAACATTAAGATTATAGAATCCGGGGTAAAACAACTAAAGAGTAAAGAACACGTAAGAGGATTTCTTTCTTTCTTTCTTTCTTTTTTTTTTTTTAAGATTTTATTTGAGAGAGAGCGAGCGAGAAAGAGCATGAGTGGGGAGGGGAGGAGTGGGGAGAGGGAGAAGCAAGCTCCCCGAGGAGCAGGGAGCCCGATGTGGGACTCAATCCCAGGACTCCAGGATCATGACCTGAGCTGAAGGCAGATGCTTAACCGACTGAGCCACCTGGGCGCCCGAGGATTTCTTTCTTAATGTCAGCCCACTGTTCAATCTCGATGAGCTTTTGCCTGCTTTCTTTTGACCCCGTCTGTACCGCCACCACCACTAAGGTCCTTAGCATATAAAGTTTAGTGATTTATATTATTACTGGGAAAATTTATACTTGTTGTGAGTTTATTATGATTCTATAATTAGTTTGCGTTTTACGTTTTACATTTTACATGAGCATTAACACTTACAATGTCTGCTGTGTTCTGGGCACCACGGTAAGTGCTGGGAGACAACAGGAATATTACAGTGAACCTGCCCTGGGAGCGCCCAGTGTCAGAGCGAATATACACATGCACACGTATAACTATAGGGACGTGAAAAGCACAGTCACTGAACTCTTATCTAAGCTCTGATATTAGAGATTTATGTGGACTTCACAGAGGAAGTAATATTTGAATGGGGTTTAAGTCTTAAAGAATTAAGAGTTCTTAATTAGGGGCATGTAGGAAAAGGTGGTGGCTTATTCAAAGGCCCATAGAAAAGGAAAGGGGCACATGGAAGAGTGACACTGTCAGAGGGACTGCAGTGGGGACAAGGAAAGAAGATTGGCAGACGAGGCCAAAGAAATAAGAGTGTGAAGAGCTGTTTACGTCATACCAAGAAATTTATTTTGTAATCAGTGGAGAAATGAAGAGATTTTAGGTGGAGGCAGGGTGATACCATGGATACTCTTTTAGGAAGGTAGATCTGACAGCAGTGTTGAGGATGAAGTGGGGTGGAGTGAGGGGCTGGTGGCCAGCAACCAAATCAGAAGGTGGTTGCAATCATCCAGAATGGTAGAAGGCCTGAACTAAGACAGGGACAGGGTAGTGGAAAGAACGGCCCAGATATGAGTGAGATTTCTACTGTAAACGCAGCAGGACCCAGTAACCCACTGGACATGGGACTGAATAAGGCGGGCTCAGAAAAGGGTGTTGTCAGATGATCAGCAATATCCTCAGATGAGCTTCAGGCAAGATGGGAAGTGGAGTTTGCCGTTGTTTGCCTAGAGCAGCTCTCATTTGTGAGTTCTCCCTTAGGGAGAAAACACACTTATAATACATTCAGAACACAAATAATTTGACAGGAAAAAATAAGTACTGAATTTTATGAGAAAAAAATCTGAATCCTAAAACCAGGATAAATTTCTAGTATTTAATATAACATCCATGTCAGTTAATTTGCAAATAGAAGTGTGCTCAAATGTGTACTAATTGTGAGGGAATTTATATTCGGGCATTTGAATAAATCAGTGCCGCCCATTGCCATGTTGAAGTGTCCTAAATGAGATCATGTCTGCATTATCTGTCCTTTATATTCTTTAATGAATTAGAGATTATGTGTTTTATCTTCATGTCTACTTCCAAAAATTTAACAGTAGCCAATGAAAAGAGTTCTTGTGTGTGTTTTTACAGTAGCTAAATGCAAATTATTTTTAGATTTGGTCAGGGTCTATAACTACTGTTTGCCAGATAAAATTCTAACCATATTATCTTCAGGAAGACTTGTGTAGAATTCCTGTATGCATTATACTGTGTGGAATTATTGGCTTTATGTTTTTGTTAAGCCGCTGAAGAGTTACAACGGGTAACAAATGTCTCAGTGGGTATCAAGTGCTACAGTTATGATTTGCCATGTTTTATAAATCAAACACATGGCACAATGTTAAGCTCTAAACCACTCTGACAAAGTCTGGCATCTCTCAGTCATATGTACTTATAGATATGTACCTTCTAAAGGCTACTACTTAGATGTAGGTTTTCATTCAATATTAAGGAACAAAAACAGTGGATCTCAAATATGTAGTTTTAGACTCAATGATGTCATTAAAAATTAATTTAAATCACTTTAAAGCCAGTACATGCTAGGATTTAAGGTTAACACATTTTTCATGTGAAAATACATGAAATATATATGAAAATATCCCCAAAGAGCATGCTTGCTGGTGAAGTGATTGTTATTTATACTTAAGTATATAAATACTGTGTTTTTAGTACTTCTAATGTTTTTAGATGATGTACCCTCTCCTACCACACTGTACCCCCCCTGTACCCATACCACCTATTAAGGTCTGATACCATTAGAATTACTAGATCTTCCTACAGTAACTTCCACTGAGATCAGAAATATTCATTAAGGCCTGCCCCAGGTATAATACCAGAATGCTCAATTTTAAAATTTCTGAATGTTTAGTTTTTAACTTGAGGTCAGCATACCTCCCTGAATATCATGCGATTCCTTAAGTTTTATGCAAAATCTGGTGTGACTGTACCTTCTTTTCCCAGGGGAGAAAGACTAGTTTTCACAGATTCCCAGAATGGTTCATGGCCCTAAAATGATGGTGAATGACTGGACTGAATGCATTCTCATGTTTACTTTGATTTGCAGTTGCTGTAACAAAAGTATTGAGTGCCACCAAGAGGCAACCTTAATGTATTTTTTTGATTTCCTCTTACTGAATTTTTAATTTTTTAAAAATATTTACTCCCCATTGAGCAGGGAGCCCGATGCGGGGCTCAATCCAGGGACCCAGGGATCATGACCTGAGCCAAAGGCAGACACTTAACTGACTGAGCCACCGAGGCGCCCCAAATTTTTGATTTAAAATGAAATTGTACCCATAGATGAATATGTTTCTCCTCTCCCCTTCCTTGCTCTGTGTTTTTACAGTGCATTTTAACAGGAGATGGCAGTCAGTATGTGTATAAGAAACTCTGTTTGTGTGCTGGAGCTAAACCAAAGTTGATATGTGAAGAAAATCCTTACGTATTAGGAATCCGTGATACAGACAGTGCTCAGGTAACATTTTGAGGTTGGTTCGTGGGAAAGGAATGTGAATATTTCTTAGACTTTTCTATATTTGAATCAAAGTATTCCACTTACAATGTTAATTCCTAAATTATAGAAGAGGTTTGTTTTATGATCCATAAACCAGAAAGTAGTTATAATGTTATTGGCAGTTTCAGTTTGGCTTTGGTTGATAATTTTTGTTTTTTTAGTTCTTGCTGGTGTTCTGTGTTCTTTCCATTGTGCATTGTATCCCAGATACAACAACTAAGCTGAAGGTTATAACTTATACACACATTCATTACTGTACTTTGATTGGGAATATGTGATTTGCAGTCTTAAATAGTGAATGATCTTTTTCCAAAAAAGTAAAGCATATCCCAAACTTACTGAACGTACCCCTTAGCAAAGAAATTAATATTCAGAAGATCTTTGTAGTACAGAATCATGACAATCCCAGAACTGAAAAAATCATTTGGTTTATTGTTGTACTCAGGAGCTCTAATAAACTATCCCAATAAGGTGAAACTCTGTGGAACCTTCTACAACTTTTTCTGGTAATGGATTTCTGGGCTTCGGGGTTCAGTGACCCTTTTTGCCAAGAAGCCCTTCCTGGTCTCTGATCATAATATTCTGTCTTACCTCAAGCTCACTGTTGTAGTTCTGTCCCATAGGGTGATAATTTTACATTTATTGATATTTTATATTCTTGAAAATTGATGTTTTCTTTCAGCCTGTTCTTAATAGGAATTTAGAGAAAACTAGAAAACTTAATTATAAATTATAACTTAATTATAATTGTAAACATTTCAGGTTCCTATTATCAAAGACTGAGTTCGTAAGTATGTTCCAGCTAGGCCCTCTACATACATGACCTAACTGCTTATGATAATCCTGTGTGACAGTATTACTCCCATTTTACAAATAGGAAACTCTGATGGAGAAATTAAGTTTTTACCTATACCAAAGTAGTTATTAAGTCTATCAGAAGTACAATGTATTTTTATTTATTTATTTTTTTAAAGATTTTATTTACTTATTTGACAGAGAGAGACATAGAAAGAGAACACAATCAGAGGGGGAGTGGGAGAGGGAGAAGCAGGCTTCCCGCTGAGCAGGGAGCCCAATGTGGGGCTCGATCCCAGGACCCCGGGATCATGACCTGAGCCAAAGGCAGATGCTTAACGACTGAGCCACCCAGGCGCCCCCAGAAATACAATTTAAACTCATGCCACTTATCTCCATGTCCAGTGTTTTTAACAGATCTTTCTTAAATTATTTACTGTCCTCAGTGAAGGACAAACTAAAATTAACTTTTTTTTTTTTGTAGCATTTTAAACAAGTCAATTTCAGTAGTAAGCTCATTGTGAGCTTTTTTAGGGGGCAGAGGAGGAAGGTGGTAGAGGCATCAATTAGTTGTCTTGTAATGATAAGAACGTAACATTTTTTTCTGATGTTAGACATTATTGTGCCTGCTCCTAACAGCTTTATTTACATTATCTTAATGCTTGCAGAGGCCTAATGAGATAGAGTCACTTCTTGTTTCCATTTATAGTTGAAGAACCAGAGGCACAGAGGGGTTAAGCAACTTGCCTAAGTTAATAACTGCAGGCAGTTACTAAACTCCTAGAACCAAGGACTCTTAACCACCAAGCTGTTGTGCTGCTCATTCATGCAAGTTTTGAGTGTTGGGTGACTCCAGGGAAAGTGTCAACTGAAGGACTAGACGAAAAGGAATAACTCTGTATATAGGATACAGACCATTGTCCTGTTAGTAAATTGATTTGATCAAGGAGTTAGGAATGTGTTAAACTAGAGGTCGTGCCGCTTGCTGGAATTCTGAACTACTCTAAATGTACTGACCTAAAAGGCAAGGAAAATCAGCAGAGGCATTGCTATGAAGACAGCTTGGGTGAAACAGAGAGCATTTGTAATATTGGGAGGGTGCATCCTGGCAGAATGGGAAAGAGATTTATTTTGTTCCTTTGTAAATCAGATAAAATTTCTACATTTTAAGAATATTATCACTGAAGCTTCTTGCTTCAAGTTTTGCCCACTATTTACAGAACACTCTCCTTTTCTTTTTAATACAGGAATTTCAGAAACAGCTTACTAAAGCTCAAAGAATAATGATCATAGGGAATGGCGGCATTGCACTTGAACTGGTGTAAGTATATATTTTAAATCCTATTTAAACACTGCTCTGTGATTCCTGTGATTATTGGCAGACTAGAAACATCTTGGTATTCTGAAATTCAAAGATAAATGTAATTGGTTTTCATATATTTTCAAGGAAAATGTCCACTTTATATTTTTGGCTTTCATGGAATTCATAGTTGTAGAAATGTCATTGCCAAACATGAGTTTAGGGAATGTTTTCTGTCTCAAGGGGTCACACACAGGTGACTGGAGAGGTGTGACCCATAGAGGTGTTTGGTAAGCATGGACTATCTTGAAAAACAATTTAAATGTGCACAGTTTTAGAGATTTCTAATCACAGCCCCCACCACTTTTTATTGTTTATACCCATCCTGCTTCACTCATTTATATAGGTACCTGTCTGTCCCATGACTCCCTATTTCAAGATCTGTGGTACTCTCAGCTCTTGGTTTTTTGGAAGTTGGAAAACGGTGAACACATAAATTAATATAAAATACTATCTTAAGATGATATTTCAAGTTCAGAGAACATTGAGGAATCAATTTCCTGCTATGGTCTACAGAGCATAGATTGTCTTTGTGATTTTATCTTCCAACGGATGGCTGACATGGAATAGTCTGGACATTTTCAGGCCAGAAAGTTGAGCCCAACTACAAAGAGGACAAATTTGTATCAAAATGATGAATTTGCCAAAGCCCTGTCCATTCTAACTCTTGGACTAGGTTTTTGCTCCTTTTTCGGACAGGGTGGTAGATCCCAGTGGAAGCTTATAAGAGTTCCTAAATTGCCTGAGTACTAGGGGCCGGCAGTCATTCTTATAATTATGAAGTTTGTGGCACTATGGAGAACTGCAGAGAAAAACAAACAAAAACTGGACAAGTCAAAACCAAACGGGCAAGAGAAAGGAGGACGCACATGACAAATTTTCTCCAGTAGCGATCACCGAAAGTATAACTTAATACTATTATTCTTTACATTGGAAAATTTTCCTACATTCAGAAATCTTCATAGTCTTAGAACATTTAATCCTATTCCTCATTTTCTTTAGGTTGGAGATACACTATATAATTCAATAAAACTCCTAAAGAAAGGCCGCATATAATGCTGTTATCTCAGCTTAGGTCCACTGATGATCAGGTGTTTGTCATCTCAGGAGAAATGACACACACAAACCCTTTCTGCTCTTCAATAGCCCTCATGTTCCCCCAAGGCAAATGCTCATTTTCTTCAGTGTATTTTTCTTCTTTACTTAGTGTAGGTTAATCCTTTCCTTTTTAAAAGGACTTTTTTTTTAAAAAAAAAATAATTTCACAAAACCGTATTTCACTGTTTGTTTTTTTAAGAGTGGTTTTAAAAATGAAAGTAGTTCCGCTATGTGTGAGGATACCTGTGTGGTGATGCATCTTGCTGAGGGCATAGTTCATAGGCTGAGGGGAGTACAGGGTGTCCTGTGAGGTAGGGCATGTACAGGAGTTCTCATGGTTACTTATTACTGTGGCCTACTAGTCAAGCGTCAGTATTTTAAGCTATACTGATATGCATTATACTGTTACATTACTTAAAAATTTTTAAAAAATGGTAGAGGAATTTCTAATTTATAACAGCAAAAGAAAGTATTTCATAATAATGATGTGCCTATATGTAAATTAAGATATGAAATTTATTACTGAATGTATATTCTACCTTCTGCTGGTCAGCAATCCTATATGACCTGAGCAGGATAAAATAGAATATTCTCCAAAGAATGTGAAATTTAGTAACTATAAATATTTGTTTCTGCCATAGGGGAGCAGGAAAAATAAAGGCTCATTAGATGGGGCAGGGGGATCCTTGACCATATTGTCAGAAAGCATGAACATCAGGTGACCTGAAGTCAGATGTACACTAAACCTTCTTTTTTGTATCATCTACTTATTGATTAGTTTGAAAAGTCCACATGTTATGTTATAGCATCTGTGACATAAAGATGGTGATACTTTGACCATAAGTCAGCATTAACAGTTCTTAGTACACGATACTCTTAGTATCACTACAGGTTCAAAGAAAATCCTAGTATAGTTAGGATGACCGTATATCCTGTTTGTCTAGGATTGTCCCAGTTCATCAGTTGTACCAAAATAAGTATTAATAGCAGAAAAATCTAATGGACTTCAGGGACTTGGTGAAATGAATACTAAGCAAACCACATTCTCGGTGACCAAACCTAGAGATAAAACTGTGCAGGAGCTCCGGCCTCCTCATGAGTGGTGTTGGCCTGTATATACCACGACCATTTCTTTTTCCTTGATTTTTCTGTGAACCGGATCTTTCTTTGGCTGAATGGCTTGGAAATTTCTGAGGCAAAGGGGAGAGGACTGCAGAGTAGTGGTTCCTTTATAACAGAATTAAAGTTTTAGTTGATAACTCTGATTCTCTCCTTTTTCTATCTCCTTCCATAATGTTGTGCTTTGAGTACACAAAATACTTGTTACCAAAGAACTGAGGTATTTTCAGTATTATAACTGTATACCATCCATCCATCCATTATTGATTACACTATACCCACGTCAAAAAAGCACTGCTCATTTATGGAACCCTGGGGAACATTCATACAATAACTATGTTGGGGAAATTGAACACTTAAGAGGTGATGCTCACTGTAATGAAATTTTACCTGATACTCAGTTACATATGTTTGTCATTTTTATGTTCTTTCAATAAACTGGTTGAATTTCTTTTATTACTTATTCTACTTTAACTGTTGATCCTGATGGAGTATTACATTGCTCCTTATAATCATTCTTGCTCAGTTTGTTGTAAAATAATTGTTATTTGCAAATACAGAGATTTCTATTCAGACTTTCAGAATTGCTCTGAGTAACTTTAATATTCCTTTTAGGTATGAAATTGAAGGTTGTGAAATCATTTGGGCCATTAAAGATAAAGCTATTGGGAATACTTTCTTCGATGCAGGAGCAGCAGAATTCTTGACTTCAAAGCTCATTGCTGAAAAACCAGAGGACAGAATTGCACATAAAAGAACTAGGTATACAACTGAAGGTAAATACAGCATCTTTTTCATGAATTCACAGATGAAACTGTTTAACTTTTTAGCCATATAGAATAAGGCTATAAGAACATTGAGCAAAATATAGTTGAGAGATAGAAATATAGATAATATTTATTTCTATATCTTATGACTTAGATTTTCCAGGATTTTTTTAAATGACAAATATGTATAATTAATACTGGAAATTTAAAGTGAATTAAATGAACCAGCCCATCTGCGTCTTTGCAAACAGATGATACAACTGGACAGGAGCTAAGATAATTTTACAAAAAATGCAATGAATTAAAAAAGAAATACAGGGGCGCCTGGGTGGCTCAGTCAGTAAGTATCTGCCTTTGGCTCAGGTCATGATCTCAGGGTCCTGGGATAGATAGAGCCTTGCATCAGGGCTCCCTGCTCAGCGGGGAGCCTGCTTCTCCTTCTCCCTTTCCCCCTCCCCTCAGCTTGTGTGTGTGTGTGTGTGTGTGTGTGCATGCGCACGCGCACGCTCTCTCTCTCTCTCTAGCAAATAAATAAAATCTTTAGAAAAAATACAACAAACCTAGTTTTTTAAGAGCTTTTTTTTTAACTTTTGGCTTACATAGTTCGAAAAGAATTCTGTTAAGTCTTGAGGGTGCTAAAAATTGACAAAATGTTTAAAAACAGAATGGCTAATTTTTTTATTGAATTGTAACAGACTATAGTATATTAGTTTCAGGTATACAACAGTAGTGATTCAGTATTTTTATACATTATGACTTGGTCCACTCAGTAGGTTTAGTTACCCTGTCACTGTGCAAACTTGTTACAGTACCATTGACTTTATTTCCTGTGCTGTATTTTACAGCCCATGACTTATTTATAACTGGAAGTTTGTACTTCTTACTACTTTACTCTTCACCTATTTTGCCTGCGCACCAGTGCCTCCCCTGTGGCAACCACCAGTTCTCTATATCTGAGCCTGTTTCTGCTTTGTTTATTTTGTTGTTTTAAAATATATTTTATAAAATATAATAATAAAAATAATAAAAACCAGAGGCTAGAATTGCACATAAAAGAACTAGGTATACAACTGAATAATAAAAATATTTTTCCTAGTTTAACTTGCATGTGTTTATTTAAAACAATTTTACTGTAGTTAACATACAGTGTTATATTAGTTTCAGGTGTACAATAAAATGATTCAACAATTCTATACATTTCTCAGTGTTCCTCATGGTAAGTATACTCTTAATCCCCTATATTTCATCCATACCCCCATCCACCTCCCCTCTGGCAACCATTTAGAGTCCGGTTTTTGGTTTGTCTCTTTATTGTTTATTTTGTTTCTTAAATTCCACATATGAGTGAAATCATATGGCATTTGTCTTTGTCTTTGACTTATTTCACTTAGCGTTATACCCTCTAGGTTCATCCATGTTGTTGCACATAGCAAGCTCTCATCCTTTTTTATGGCTGAGTAATACTCCATCGCACATATACCCCACATCTTCTTTATCCATTTGTCAGTTGATGGACACTTGGGATTGCTTCCATATTTTGCTTGTTGTAAATAATGCTGTAGTTAACATAGGGCTACACATATCTTTTCAAATTAGTGTTTTTGTTTTCTTTGGATTTTTGAGGAAACTCCATACTGTTTTTTACAGTGGCTGTACCAATTTGCATTCCCACCAACAGTGCATGAGGGAACTTATTTCTCCACATTTTCACCAAGATTCGTTATTTCTTGTCTTTTTTTGATTCTAGCCATTCTACAAGTGTAAGGTGATACCTCATTGTGGTTTTGATTTGCACTTCTCTGATGATTAGTGATGTTGAGCATCTTTTCATGTCCCTGTTAGCCAGCTGTATGTCTCTGGAAACCTGTCTGTTCGGGTCCTCTGCCCATTTTTTATTTTGGTTGTATTTTCGTTACAAAGTTGTAGGAGTTTTTGGGGTTTTTTTAAAGATTTTATTTATTTATTTATTTATTTATTTATTTATTTATTTATTTATTTATTTTTTAAAGATTTTATTTATTTGCGAGAGAGAGAATGAGAGAGAGCATGAAGGGAGGAGGGTCAGAGGGAGAAGCAGACTCCCTGCTGAGCAGGGAGCCCGATGTGGGACTCGATCCCGGGACTCCAGGATCATGACCTGAGCTGAAGGCAGTCGCTTAACCAACTGAGCCACCCAGGCGCCCAGATTTTATTTATTTTTTGACAGAGACACAGTGAGAGAGGGAACACAAGCAAGGGGAGTGGGAGAGGGAGAAGCAGGCTTCCCACGGAGCAAGGAGCCCAATGCGGGGCTCGATCCCAGGACCCTGGGATCATGACCGGAGCCAAAGGCAGACACCCAACGACGACTGAGCCACCCAGGCGCCCCTGTAGGAGTTCTTTATGTATTTTGGATATCAACCTTTTATCAGATCTTACCCTTCATATTAACATACATTTGGGGATATATATATATATATATAACATCCCCAAAACACGCTGTGTTTATACTCAACACTTGGTTGAAGGATTATCCATTTTATAGCTCTATATCACAAAATAATTAAAATAATAAAGTAATACAGGTAACTTAGTTCAGTCATGCTGTATATATGTACGTATGAGAATCATAACATTGCCTAAAAGCTTGAGAACACAAGTACACATCTCTGCCTGGCAGTTTTTAGGTCATTTGAATTTTGAGTTGAGTTTATCTCTTCAGGAAGAAAACAAACCAAAACTGGTGCTGGTAATATGGGCAGTGCCTTGGGACCTGATTGGCATGAAGGCTTGAATCTTAAAGGTACAAAAGAGGTATGTGTTCATATACTAATTAAACCTAAGATGCAATTTTAAATTCTTAAACCATTCGTTAAAGACTGGTCACAAATAAGTCAAACTGCTAGGTCACTTTACTTAAAATCCAAAGTGCTAGGACAGACAGGACCAATGGCACTTGGCCCGATTCCTTACCACAGGTGAGTATTCATTCATCTAAAACTGATTCGTGCCCTTCTTTTTAGTTCCCCAGGCAGAGAGATTTCCAGGCTCGGACTACAGTGAATATAACTGTCCTATTTTAAATTAATCTTTTCTCAAAGGTCACTTCACATGCATTATAATATTTTGAAGATTATTAGATGAATTCTAAATAAAATACATATTTAACACCCTAATTGGATAAACAGATGACTTGTTTTTACTCATTTTATTTATTAGATATTTATTTTTAAATAGTTAAAAGGCTGTGATATTTAAATACTGTAAGAAGCATACATGGAGTCCTTATTATTGTGTATGATTTCTTTTCAGCCTTGGGTAGTTTGGAGAGGAGCTGGCTTCATGGCATATCTAATTTTTGTGATAGAAATTATACAAAATCACTTCTTCCTGCATCTTCAGATCCAAAGATTAATAGTATTTTTAACCTGAGAACTTCAGCAGTTTGGTTCACTAAACATTATCTCCTTTGTACTTGGCACTTTACTAAGGTTCTCGGATATCACAGTAAGTCGGCATGGACTTGCCCTCAAGAGGTTTTTATAGTCTCTAGCAGTGTAATTTTTTAACAACTATATTTGTGATTATCACTGAGGCTTATACTTAAAAGCATGCCCTGCCAGTGCAACTGGTTGTTTTCTTAGGTTCTGAATGGATTTCTGCTCACTCCCTTCACACACACAGATTGAGAGGCTTACTTTGGGGCACCCAGTGTGTTTCCATTTATATTAAAAGAATTATTTTTTCTGTATGTTTCTATAAGTGTATTGTAATTTTTTATAATCATTAGCAACCTAAGTCGTTTTTTGGGAATTGTATGGTGACCAGTATTTCTTTAGTTTTCTCATAAGATTCATATTGAAACTATGTGTGAAGTAAAGAAAATCTACCTTCAGGAAGAATTTACAATTTCTAAGAAAAAGTCCTTGCCTTTTCCCAGAGACCATTCTAATCAGTCAGTGACAACTGATAAAGGTAAGTAATAAAATAAGGAAAAAAATACAATAACCAGTAATTTAAAAGGAAAAAACCTTACTTAATCTTACTATATTAAAAAACTTTAATTTCCATATGAAATTTGAACATAAAAAGTAAAAATGAAACAATTACTTAATAACGTAAGTCATTTTGTTTTCATTACTTAGTCTTCAAGTTTCCTAATAGTTTGTATTCAGCTTTACATTTTACATGGGGCTCCTGGTGCTTTGACCACCAGAATTCTGTGCATCAATCAGAATATCTTGCAGATCAAAACAGTTATCAACTAAAAAAACTTTGATACTCTCAGAAGATGAAGTGACTTCCCCAAAATCAAACAAATTGAAAATCTATAAATTTGGGATTAAGAAACAGATCTAATCCCTATTTCACACTTCCTGTGAGAACTAGCATATAAGACATTCCACGGTCTTTGAATTCTTTGAATCTTTCCATGGGAAAAGGTAGTGTTAGAGTTGGAATATGAATAGTAAGGGAAAACACTGAAGAGTAGTCTATTTGGACTACATTCTCAGTGGAGTATAGTAGCTTAATAGTTTTAAAGAAATAATTTATAAAGTGATTGTCAGTTTAAAATCATTTTGTTGGAAGTTCTTTGTCTAAATTTGAAGGAAAAATGTTTAGAATGCCGTAATTTTGTAACTGTACTGAAAACAAGGAGATAGTGCTGATTGCATTATAATTGTTTAAGCAGATGTGCCTTATAAAATTAAGGGGTACATTTTTATTTTTTTTTTTAAAGATTTTATTTATTTATTTGAGACCGAGAGAATGAGAGAGACAGAGAGCACATGAGAGGGGGGAGGGTCAGAGGGAGAAGCAGGCTCCCTGCCAAGCAGGGAGCCCGATGCGGGACTCAATCCCGGGACTCCAGGATCATGACCTGAGCCGAAGGCAGTCGCTTAACCAACTGAGCCACCCAGGCGCCCTTAAGGGGTACATTTTAAAGTCCTCTCCTGCTTTTTTCTTTCACTGTTTGTTCTAGGCATTATATTCACATAATGCTAATGACAGCTGGTGATTACATTTGAGAGTGAAGGTGGTTTGTTTGTTTGTTTTAAAGAGGTATGGCCTGTATATGTGGAATTGACTAATGAAAAGATATACGGCTGTGATTTCATTGTCAGTGCTACAGGAGTTACACCAAATACAGAACCTTTCCTCTGTGGCAACAATGTAAGGTGAACTATTTTGTCCTGCTATGAATATTTTTAAAGTAGTATGAGATTTCTAATTCTCAAGCATAAATAACTATTCATTGTTTTAGTGTAAAACCCGTAACTTAAGGAAGTTGAAAACAATTTAGTTTACATTCATGTTTTATTTACAGTATTTCGTATTGCCTAAAGTCCTTAAGCAGTAAACGTCCCAGCGTAAGTGTCTTCATAAATAGGACATAATGCACAATTCATTTGTCTAAAGGTTGATGATTCTACTAGAGAAACTATCTTGTATTTTCTGCCTTTTTAGCATTTGAAGCTCAGAAAACTGAGGAATATTGTAATTACGAGTGGGGTAGTCCCACGGTTACTGAGTATTCTTAATGTTGAAAGTCGAAGAATTTTTTAGCTGGGCTGTCCTAGTAGGATTTTGATTCTCTGGAAATTCAGCTGAGTTGTCTAAACTTGGCAGCTGTTTTTTACTCTCTCACCGAAGATCAGCATACCGAGGTGTAAAAATTTGACTTGTTCTTTTACTTTAGAACAGAAAAGACGTCTTTCATTTTTCTTCCCACATACGCTTATCAGGAACCCTGTTTAGTTTGATCTAGGAGAAGACGGAGGCCTGAAGGTGGATGCTCACATGCACACGTCTCTTTCTGATGTCTATGCTGCGGGTGACATGTGCACCGCATCCTGGAGGCCCAGCCCGGTGTGGCAGCAGGTAAGCCGGCATCCCCCATCACACCTTGTATCAGATTCCATCTGACAGTAAAGGAGTGAGTCACTACCAGCAAATCCAAATTTCTGGTTTTCCCACTTTGCTACTTTAAGTAGGAGGCTATCCTAGACATTTAAAAAAAAAAAGAATGTTTCCCTTTTGGTAAGTTATTATATAGTGATGGAACACACTGGTATGTCTTGTAATTGAAAAAGAATTATGGGCTATGACTTTTTCATCTTCAAATACTTACCAGCACTGTCCAGTGGAACTCTGTGATGACAGAAACGTTCTCTACGTTTGCAGTGTCCAGTCAGGTAGTCACCAGCCTACATGTCTCTGTTGGCACTTAAGATGTGCTGAGTGAGACCGAGGAACTGAATTTCATTTACATTTAAGTTTAAATAGCTCCCTGTGTCTAGTGGCTACCAGACTGGACAGAGCAGCTTTAGATGAAGAAATAACATCCTGAGGTATAAACCGTATAGATGATGACCCCTTGCGATCCTGATGACCCAGTTCTGTCTCTGTGGGAATTATGACTGAAAAAATTCCCTCAAGCGACCATTCTTCCTCAGCCGCACAACTCCGTCCAACTGGATGTCTGTGTCCTCCTGCCCTCACGGTGCTGCCCGCCTCCTCACGGTGGAGCAGAAATCCTTGAGGAAGATATTCAGACCTCAGCCATAGGCGAGGTGGTCTTAGGAGGAGTAGAGACACAGGTAGATGTTACAGATAAAAGAACCAGGCAACACTTGGTGAGATTCTCCTTCAGATTAACTCTGGAGTGTGAAGTAGCGGAAGGGCCAGATGCATTCTAAGAGGCACCTTCAATACTTCATTTTTACAGAGATAATAGTCATAGGAAGAGTGCTTTTGGCCTGTTTCTAAAGTGCTAGCTTCTTTTCAGTTTTTTTCTGTAATCATTCTGTGGCATATATGTCTTCAACTCTCAGGAATTGGCATTTGTGGGATTTTTTTGAACACTTTAAACCCTCTAAGAGGATAAATTATATCCTTATTATGTCATACTCTGCTACAGGCAATATCCGAAAACAAAACAGAGGTCTCTTGTTCTGAGTGAATCTAATAGACCTCATGTCTTAATTTGTAGAAGCAATAAGTACACTAATTAGTTTTACATGATCCAAGACCCAAACTGGAGGGACTCAGAGGCTGGTAGACATTAATAATGGTCCAACAGTGTAACACTGCCGGCCGCCTCCATTAGCCGTTCTTGAGTGTTGTGCTCAGTTTGCTCTGCTCCCTTCCCACAGACCCCCTTTCACTTCATCAAACCGATCTTGTTTATACACAGGAGACGGAATTAAAAAGTCTATCCATTCTACTAGAAATGATTGGGGTAGTATTTTTGCACAAAAAAAGGACATTAGTTACAGGGGTGTAGGTTAGCTTATTTCTCTCAATAGCCATGGAATAGATGATGGTGTACATTTGTTTCAGGTGAAGAAGTTAAGGCTGTTAATAAAATAAATATGTAGAAGAGTCAATGTCTTGACTTTCACAGCCAGTGTTCTATCAGGGATTTCTAAAACTTTGTAGAAATAAACATACAGTAAAGGAGAAATTAATGTAAGGGAAGAATTTAAAATTCCCAGCATCAGTTGCTGAAATCTGATAAGATTTCCTGAGGCTGGACAACCAACTAATATATTGATTTAGCACCACAATGTAAGGATTAGGAAGAGGAATGAATTTTTCAGTGATAATTTGTCATCTCTACTTCTGATGATGAACTTACTCTGAAAAAAGAGACTGGTTAATTAGTAGTATTCTTACCTGGTATACCCTGAAATGTTGTATTTATATGTAATCGTTTATTGAAACATACAGATTTGGTATCATCCTTTAATTTTAAAGGCAGTAATATCAAATAGCAAAATCAAGTTTGGTTAGTGTGGATTGGTGGTAACTGCTTCTATGGCAAAGACAATCGAACTAGTCCTCTAGCTTGCTAGATCTAGCCAATCTCAAGGACTGTCAACAGTGAACCCCTTTAAGAAATTTTGTAAGGTATTGTTAAAGTAGAACAATGAAAACTTTTATGTCATAACATTTTTTTCTTTCAGATGAGGCTGTGGACGCAGGCTAGACAGATGGGATGGTATGCAGCAAAGTGCATGGCTGCAGCTAGTTTAGGAGAATCTACTGACATGGACTTCAGCTTTGAACTTTTTGCTCATGTAACAAAATTTTTTAACTATAAGGTAAGATAGATAAGCAAATTAGTGCCTTTTTCTGCTTGTTAGTCTTATAAATAAAACCATGTAAATAATTATTATTTTACAAAATTTCTTGGAAATCAGTACCTGGTATTATTGCTGGTCTTAATTCCTAATCATTACCTACCTTCCTGTGCTATACTGTTTCATAGTTAAGGCGGGAAAGTCTCTTCTAGGCTTATTTCCTGTTTGAGTACATTTTGAGATGCATTCTTGCTTTGTGGGGGGAACCAATAGCTGTCATACTCAGGGATGAACCCAGTGCTTTGCCTCGCATATTCTTCATGACTCTAAGCTGATGCAGTCCAGATCCTAGATATTTTTAATGTTCAGAGATTGTGGTGGTGTCATCTGTACAACAAATGCAGTGCCACTCATTTTTGTGAGTAGATTTCTAGAGTAACAACATAGTATAACTGCATATAGTGTTTCCTTTTTGGTACTCACTAGAATCATGTTTTTATCCCCACCTATAGGTTGTATTGCTGGGAAAATACAACGCACAGGGCTTAGGCTCAGATCATGAATTAATGCTGAGATGTACCAAAGGACAAGAGTACGTCAAAGTTGTCATGCAGAATGGGCGAATGATGGGAGCTGTCTTAATTGGTGAAACTGACTTAGAAGAAACATTTGAAAACTTAATTTTAAATCAGACCGATCTTTCATCATATGGAGAAGATCTGCTAGATCCAAATATTGATTTAGAAGATTATTTTGACTAAAAAAAGGCATTTCAAGAACTACAGAAAGTTCCAAATAACACAAAGTCACAATAAGGTAAATGCACTGATTAAATGAAGAATACAGAAGTGATAATGATTTCAGTGGGAAAATATATGTAAATTATTTGAACTTTACAACACAAAACTGACCACTTATGTAAATGTAAGGATTTAAGTTACTCATTTCTGATTTAGCTAAGTTGTTATCTACTTAGCCAACAACTTGGTCTGGCATGCCAGAGTCATTCTGATTGTGAAATCTCAGAGACGGTTATGGTTTCAGATTTATATTAATACCTTATTGTGTTTATGTTTGGATTCTACAGGTGTTATGAGCTGAAATAACTCCCTGTCTGTAATAAGCCTTTGTAAAATATTCCATATGATAACTTCGCTATCAAATGTTGGTTATATGAAAAGAAAATAAACATATCAAGGCATAAGAGTTTAAGATAATTTTTGATGTGAAATACTCAAGTTCAAATAACTGATAGTATGAAATGAGAATTAAGTCCAGTACTTCAGAGATAAGTTCCATATGTATAAAATATTAATAAAATTGTCTTAAACTGTTTTCTTGGAAAATAAACACCTATCTCATGCATCATCAATTTATTCTTAGATTGCTAAAGCATGTTTGCAGACTTCTGAAAGTTACCTGGATTTTTTTCTTCCCTCTTTTTATCAGCTCCTTCAAAATGAATCTACAAATAAAAACAAAGCAAACATTCTGGTCAAAACTCAGTGGTTCCATTTTCTCTTCAGATTAATAATACCACTGGTTCTTCTATATCAGCTCTTCAGTTAAGTGTCTAGTGGTCTTGTTTTGTATCTTCCAAGTATCTACTCAAATATGAGCCCTATCCTGAAGGGACATGCTGTCAGAGACACAGCGGTACGTGGCATGCTTTTGCAGGCTTGAGAGTATTGAGTGTGGGAGAGTCGTTGGTTCTCGACCTCTGCTGCTCAGGCCTACTTCTCAACCAATGTTGTGAGGGCAGGGTGCATCGCAAATTAGACAACACTAAAATGGATTTTTCCTCTTCTGAAAGGTTGGAAACCCTTGTCTATATTAAAATTGACTAGTTTAAATTCTGTTCCCTAATATCTCTACAGAAAACAAAGGTATGTTCTGGACCCAGGACAGTACTATCCCATAAGCTTTAATGTGTTTTTTCACTATATAGAAATTAATAGCCAGTTACCCTGAAACAGCTCTGCATGGGCTTCTTTACTTGCAAGGTGATAAGATGTGCATCACTATTCAGATTAGCTTTAGATCCTATTTTCAAATATGAAGTCTCTGTGGAAGGTGTAGGCCAACAGAAAGGTTTTAAGAAATTATAAAAAAAATAACTGCAATAATTTTAATATACTGATATAAAACTTGCACAAAACAAATACTTTCTATAAATTGTATTTGTAAATTTTATATGGCATTTAAAAGTTTACATGAAACAACTGGAAAACCACTTGTTCTGTTGCAGTTATAAAGACAACACGAAAGGACAAGAAATGGATTGTATATACTTAAGCTACTGCTATAGAAGAAGGTGTGCAGTAATTTTCACCAGGTCTTTATGAGAAGTTTAGGAGGAGCAACACCTACCACTCTCAATCAGTTTCAGTGGAGTAAGCTTTTCATTCAGATCCTTTGCCTCCTTCAGGATCTTGATTAGATCTCTGCAGTGTGCTGTTATATTCTTTCACCTGCTGTAATGAGACAGGCGACTGGGATTTAAAATTAAGGACAGGCTAGTCTAAGTGGTTAAACTGGCTTAAAATGAGCCATCAACATGCGCCACCCTGAACACTGATTTAATTTGTTCTGAACCCAAACTAGGCTATTCCTCAAGTCAATCACTAAGTTATAAGCTGGTTACCAGAAGGTCTTGGGGTATGCTCTGTGAACCAGGGTGTCTGCCAGACATGACTGAGAGTTAGAAGAGAATCAGTCTATTCTTTTTTTTTTTCAGTCTTTTTTGTTATGTTAGTCACCATACATCACATCATTAGTTTTTGATGTAGTGTTCCATGATTCTTGTTTGCGTATAACACCCAGTGCTCCATGCAGAATGTGCCCTCTTTAATACCCACCACCAGGCTAACCCATCCTCCCACCCCCCTCCCCTCTAGAACCCTCAGTTTGTTTCTCAGAGTCCATAGTCTCTCATGGTTCGCCTCCCCCTCTGATTTCCGCCCCTTCATTCTTCCCCTCCTGCTATTTTCATATTTACTGGATTTGTGCTCATTGAGCAATAGTCTGAAAACTATGGCTTCCTCGGTACTCTGATTTAGAGACAAGAATGTCCTGGTCAGATATTCCTAATTATTGATTCTAGCATCCTAATTTATATATATCAGACTCTCGTTAATGTGGTCAGTATAATGCAGTATAATAAACGCATATACAAGTTTCTCTAGTTGCAAAGTTAAAATTGTAATGACCTTCACCCACCAAGGCATCAGAACTCTGTGAGGGGGTAACTGGTTAGTCCAGCTTTTCAGACACAACATACACACAGGATGAAAAAAGTTAAAATGCAGCACCAAAATACTGCTAAATTAGTGTCTTATGAGTGGTTAGCCATTATCTGGTTCAAAAATGATTGACTCTAATCTCTCTTTTGCATTAAATTTCTCTTCCCAATCAGGGACTATAAAGTATTAGAGATTAGCCTTTTTTTGTATAAACAGTATTTCTGTTCAGAGGAATTTACACCTCTCCCTTCAATTCTTAAAAACATGCCCTTAGTATAGCAATATAAAATAGATGCATACACATATCACTTTTCCTTTTATTTACCTTGTTTTAAAACTTTGAGTTACTTTTGAACCTAGAAAATGCTATTCACAGCTTGCTTAATCCATTTTGGGGTCTAATATTGCCCCCATGTAGTCCTAGCTATATATATTAGCCTATAAAAATTTAAAAACAATGAACTAGGGAGTGTTCCAGTCTAAGATGGTGACACAGGAAGATCCTGAACTCCCCTCCATGGGCACACCAAATCTACACCTATTTATAGGCAATTCCTCCTGAAGAACAACTGAGGGCTCACTGAACAGCTTCTGTACAACAACACAGACCACCTAGAGAACAGCAAGAGAGACTGAGAGGTGGTAACAAAGGGTGACCCCACCCCTGATGCTGCAAACTGCAGTGCAGAGGATAGTAACGAGGTCCAGGAGCAGATTTGTCTACCTGGGCCACAGAAAATAAAAGCCATGGTTTAAAAGAGCAACCAGAATATAAAGGAAATAGTTCTTGAACCCTGCTAACTATCTCTGGGTTGGAGGGTCCAGTGAGTACCACAGTTTATGTTCCCCCACCACCTTGACAGCATAGATGGGAGCAGGGTCCAGGCACCCTATCAGCCTACCACCTCAGTGAGCCCTGGGCCCCCAAAGCACACCAGCCCCAGCTGTCCCACCAAGGCAGCCCCATGGTGGTGCACACGAAGACAGCCCTGGTCAGTGCTCACTACAGCTGCAGCTGTCTTGCCACACTGAGGCAGGCACAAAGCACCCTGGAACACTGCAGGCCTGCACTGCTTTGGCTTCAGATGGCTTTCTAGGGCACCCCTGGCTGATGCCTTTCTTCAGATCCAGCTGCCTGGCCAGGACAACCTGGCTTACACCTGCTTCAGCTGTCCTTCCAGTGCACCGTCTAGAGAACCCTAGGGCAATCCCAGTCCATGCCCATTTCAGCTATAATTATCCTTGCCAGTTGGCGCCCTGCACAAAGCACCTAGGGACCCACCAGCCAGCAACCACTTCAGCTATGACTGCCCCCACCAGGGCACCTTCCACACACTTCAGAGCACCCCAGCTTACCCCCACTTGAGTTTCAGCCATTCTGCTAGGGTGTCCTCTGCACAGAGAACCCTGGGACCACCCACAGCTTACAACCACTTCAGCTTCAGGTGTCCTGCAGGGTGCCACTGTGCATAGAGCCCAGGGACCACACTAGCTGGCACCCACTTCAGCACTAGCTGTCCTGCCAGAGCATCCTCTGTGTGGAGAGCCACCAGCTTGAACACATTTACCTTCAGCTGTCCTGCCAGGGCACCCTCTGCAAAAAGCCTCAGGACCCACCCCCAGCCCACACCCACTTAATCTCCAACCATCCCACCAGGGCAGCCCCAGTATGGAGCACCCTGCAATCCCCAACCCATGCCAGCTACAGCTCCAGCCAGCCAGCAAGTCACCAGGCATATACAGTTCACATAGGGGACAACCACATACCAAGACCGTTCCTTCAAGTTTAGGAAAAGTAGCTGTTCTGCCTAATTCATAGAAAGACACAAAGTCAAGCAAAATGGGGAAAGGAATATGCCCCAAATGAAAGAACAAGACAAAACCTCAGAAAAAGAAATAAATGAAACAGAGATAAGCAATGTGCCTGATGAAGAATTTAAAGTAATGATCATAAAGATGGGCACTGGGTTGGAGAGAAGAGTAGAACTCAGTGAGAACTTCAACAAAGACCTGGAAAATATAAAAAACCAGAGCTGAAGAATACAACTGAAAAGAAAAAACACTAGAAGGAATCACAAATAGACTAATGAATGCAGAAGAATGATCTGGAAGATGGGGTAATGGAAAGCACCCAAGCTGACAGCAGACATAAATATTTTAATTTTTATTTCTTTTTATTAAGTAAACTCTATGCCCAACATGGGGCTTGAACTCACGACCCGGAGATCAAGAGTCACATCCTCCTTCATCTGAGCCAGCCAGGTGCCCCCCCAAAATAAAGAATTTTTTAAAATGAGGTTACGTTAAGTGATCTGTTGGACAGCATCAAGTGAATAAGCATTCATATTATAGAGGTCCCAGAAGGAGAAGAGAGAAGGTGGTAGAAAATTTATTTGAAGAATTATAGCTGGAAACTTCCCTAACCTAGGGAAGGAAACAGACATTCAGATTCATGAAGCACGTAGAGCCCCTTGAGAAGATAAACTCAAGAAGCTCAACACCACAACACATAATTAAAATGTCAAAGGCTAAAGAGATAATTGTAAAAGCAGTGAGAGAGAAACAAAAAGTTATGTTCAAGAGAAACTCCACAAGGCTATCAACTGATTTTTCAGCAGAAACTGCAGGCCTGAAGGGAAAAAAACAAAACAAAACAAAAACCCCTGCAATCAAGAATTGCACAAAGGGGCACCTGGGTGGCTCAGTTGGTTAAGCTGCTGCCTTCAGCTCAGGTCATGATCTCAGAGTCCTGGGATCGAGCCCTGTGTCAGGCTCCCTGCTCAGCAGGGAGTCTGCTTCTCCCTCTCCCTCTGCCTCTCTCTGGCTTGTTCTCGCTCTCTCTGTCAAATAAATAAAATCTTAAAAAAAAAAAAAAAAATACCCAGCAAGATTATTACTTGGAATTGAAGAAGAGATAAAGAGTTCCGAAACAAAAGTTAAAGGAATTCATCACTATTAAACTGGCATTACAAGAAGTGCTAAAGGAAATTATGAATAAAAAGATATAAAACATGGCAACATATATATATAAACCATGGAGGGGGGAATAAAAAAGAAGTTCCTTTAGAATGTGTTCAAACTTAAATGACCATCAACTCAATATAGACTGCTTTATACTTAGGATGTTATATATGAACCCAAAGTTCATATATAACCACAAACACCAAACCTAGAATAGGTAAAAAAAAAAAAAAAAAAAGGGGGGGGGAGGGAGAGTACAGTATACAGAATATAGTCAATGGTACTGTAACAGTGTTGCATGGTGACACATGGTAGCTACACTTGTGATGGGCACAGCATAATGTATAGAGTTGCTGAATCATTATGTTGTACATCCGAAACTAATATAATATTGTGTGTCAACTAAAAAAAGTAAAAAGAAATGAAAAAGAATAATAATAAAAGAGAAGGTGAAACAAAATACTACAGAAAGTCAGCAATCACAAAGAGAACCAGGGAAGGAACAGAAGAACTACAAAAACAACCAAAGAACAATCAACAAAATGGCAGTAAGTACGTAACTATCAATAATTACTTTAAATGTAAATGGTCTAAATGTTCCACTCAAAAGACACAGGGTGATGGAATGGATTAAAAAAACAAAGACAGATGTATATGCTGCCTACAAGAGACTTACTTCAGGCCTAAAGACACATACAGACTGAAAGTGAAGGAATGGAAAAACACATGCAAATGGAAGCAAAAAGGAAAAACCGGAGTAGCAGTACATACATCAGACAAAATAGACTTTAAAACTAAGACTGTATTGGGCACCTGGGTGGCTCAGCCAGTTAAGCGTCTGCCTTCGGCTCAGGGTCCTGGGATCGAGCCCCGCGTCAGACTCCCTGCTCAGCGGAGAGTCTGCTTCTTCCTCTCCCTCTGCTGCTCGCCCTGCTTGTGTGCTCTTTCTCTGTCAAATAAATAAAATCTTTAAAAAACAAACAAACAAAACTAAGACTGTATCAAGAATCAAAGAAGAACATTACATAATGATAAAGGTACCAATCCAACAAGAGGATATAAGGATTGTAAATACCTATGCACCCAACATAGGAGCATCTAAATATATCAAGCAGGAGCGCCTGGCTGACTCAGTAGGAAGAATATGTGACTCTTGGTCTTGGGGTCAGTTAGTCTGAGCCCCACACTGGATGTAGAGATTACTTAAATAAATAAAAATTTAAAAAATGCTAAGAAAAAAATACACAAAGTAAACACAACCAGATAGAGGGAGAAATGGATGGTAACACAATAATGATAGGGAACTTAAACACTTCATTTACATCAATGGATACATCATCCAAGCAGAAAGTCATAAAGGATACTGTCTTTGAATGACATGTTAGACTACATGAACATAACAGATATATACAAATATTCCATCCAAAAATAGCAGATTACACATTCAAGTGCACATGGAGCATTCTCTAGAACAGATCACATTAGGGAACAAAATAAGTCTCAATAAATTTAAGAAGACTGATGCATCTTTTCCGACCACAACAGTATGAAACTAGAAATCAATCACAAGAAAAAAAACTGGAAAAAACACAAACACATGGAGGCTAAAAAACACACTACTACACAACCAATGGGTCAACAAAGAAGACATTTAAAAAATACATGGAGACAAATGAAAATGAAAACACAATGGTCCAAAATCTTTGGGACACAGCAGAAGCAGTTCTATGACAGGTAAATTTATAGCAATATAAACCTACCTCAAGCAACAAGAAAAATCTCAAGTAAACAATCTAACCTCATACCCAAAGGAAACAGAGAACGAAACCCAACATAAGTAGTAAGGATATAATGAAGATCAAAGCAGAAGTAAATGAAAGAGAGACTAAAGAAAAAAAGATGATCAAGGAAACCAAGAGCTGGTTCTTTGAAAAGATAAATGAAATTGATGAACTTTTACCCAGACTCACCAAGAAAAAATGAGAGGAGCCAAATAAAATCAGAAATGAAAGAGAGGTAACAATTGACACCACAGAAATACAAAGGACTGTAAGAGAGTATTATGAAAAATCATATGCCAACAAATTGGACAACCTAGAATAAATGGATAAATTCCTAGAAACATAGAATTTTCCAAAACTGAATAAGGGAGAAATAGAAGTCTGAACAGACCAATTACTAGTAACAAGATGGAAGTGATAATCAAAAAATTACCAACAAAGTCCAAGACCAGATGGATTCTTAGGTACATGCTACCAAACACTCAAAAAAGAGTTAGTATCTATTCTCCTCAAACTATACCAAAAAAATAGAAGTGGAAGTAAGGCTTCCAAATACATTCCATGAGGCCAGACTTAGCCTGATAGCAAAACCAGACAAAGACAACAGACAAAAAGAAAACTACAAGCCAGTATCCACAATGCACATAGATGCAAAAATCCTCAACAAAATATTAGCAAACCACTTTTAGCAATACATTAAAAGGATTATTCATCACAATCAAGTAGAAGTGATTCTGTGGATACATGGATAGTTCAATATTTGCAAATCAATTACACATTTATAAGAGGAAGGATAAAAACCATATGATCTCAATAGATGCAGAAAAAGTATTTAACAAAATTCAACATCTGTTCATGATAAAAACTCAACAAAGTGAGTTTAGAGGGAACATACCTCAACATAATAAAGGCCATACTTGAAGATTTTGCAGCCTACATTCAATGGTGAAAAAGTGGCAACTTTTGCTCTATGATCAGGAGCAAAACAAGGATTCCACTGTCATCACTTTTATTCAACATAGTACTGGAAGTCCTAGCCACAGCAATAAGAAATAAAAGAAACCCATATTGGTAAGGAAGAAGTTAAAATGCCACCATTTACAGGTGACATAATACTATACAAAGAAAACCCTAAAGACTACACCAAAAAGTATTAGAATAAATGAATTCAGTAAAGTTACAGGATACAAAATTAATATATAGAAATCAGCTACATTTCTATACACTAATGAAGTAGCAGAAAAATAAATTAAAAACACAATTCCATTTACAACTGTGCCAAACATAATAAAATACCCAGGAATAAACTTAACCAAGGAGGCAAAAGAACGTGTACTCTGAGAACTATAAAACACTGATGAAAGAAATTGAAGATTACAGAAGCAAATGGAAAGACAATGCTCATGGGTTGGAAGAATACTGGTAAAATACCTACTCCACAAAGCAATCTACAGATGCAGTGCAATCTCCATCAAAATACCAACAGCATTTTTCACAGAACTAGAACAAATGATCCTAAAATTTGTGTGGAACCACAAAAGACCTCAAACAGCCAAAGAAATCTTAAGAAGAACACAGCTGGATTTCAAATCCCACATTTCAAGATATACCACCAGTGTAATAATCAAAACAGTATGTTACTGGCACAAAAATAGACACAGATCAATGGAACAGAATAGACGGCCCAGAAATAAACCCACACTTCTATGGTCAGTTAATCTATGACAAAGGATGCAAGAAAATACAATAAAGAAAAAGATGGTCTCTTCAATAAATGGTGCTGGGAAAACTGGACAGCTACATGCAAAACAATGAAACTGGACAACTTTCTTATACCATATACAAAACCAAACTCAAAATGGATTAAAGACCTAAACATGAAACCTCAAACCATACAATGTCAGAAAAGGACATAGACAATAATTTCTTTGACATTGGTCATAGCAACATTTTTCTAGATATGTCTCCTAACACAAGAGAAACAAAAGCAAAAATAAATTACTGGGATCACACCAGAATAAAAGGCTTTTGCACAATGAAGAAAATCATCAAGCTTTTACACAATGAAGAAAATCATCAACAAAACTAATAACCTACTGAATGGGAGAAGATATTTGCAAATGACATATTCAATAAAGGGTTAGTATCCAAAATAGATAAAGAACTTACTAACTCAACACCAAAAAAAGCCCCAAATAATCCAATTAAAAAATGGGCAAAGGACCTGAATAGACATTTTTCCAAAGAAGACATACAAATAGCCAATAGAAACATGAAAAGATGCTCACTATCACTAAACATCAGGGAAATACAAATGAAAACCACAGTGAGGTATCACTTCACACCTGTCAGAAGGGTTAAAATCCAAAAGACAAGAAACAACAAGGGCTGATGAGGATGGGGAGAAAAGGGAACCCTTTTGCATCATTGGTGGGAATACAACTGGTGCAGCCACTGTGGAAACCAGTATGGTGGTTCCTCAAAAAATTAAAAATAGAATTACCATGTGATCCAGTAATTCCACTGGGTATTTACCCAAAGAAATTGAAAACACTAATTTAAAAGATATATGTACTCCTATGTTTATAGCCAAGATATGGAAGCAACCCAAGTGTCCATTGACGGATGGATAAAGAAGATGTGGTATGTATATACAATGGAATGTTACTCAGCCATAAAGAAGAATGAGATCTTGCCATTTGCAACAATACGAATGGACAGAGGGTATTATGCTAAGTGAAATAAGTCAGACAAAGACAATACCATAGGATTTCACTTATATGTAGAATCTAAGAAACAAAACAAAGGAATAAGCAGAAAGCAGAAACTGACCCACAAATACAGAAAACAAACCGACGTTTGCCAGAGGGGAGGGAGGTGGGGGGATGGGTCAAATGGCTGGAGGGCAGTGGGAGTGCGGGCTTACAGTTATGGAATGAGTAAGTCATGCGGTGAGAGGTACAGCACAGGGAATATAGAGTCAGAGGTACTGTAACAGCACCGCACGGTGACGGACGGTAGCTGTACCTGTGGGCAGCACAGTGCGCAGACTTACGGAATCACTACGTTGTACACCTGACACTAACGTAACACTACTTCAGTTAGAAAAACTGTGAACTCACCAACGTCTTCACAACAATTATCACACATTCTGTTGCATGCTTCTGAATTCCACACTTCATCAAAATGCTGAGCTATCAATACACGGCGACACCTGCAAACACATTGAGAGATACAAATTATTAAATGACCTAAGAAGTTTTAAGAATGCCTATTTCAAAACACAGAGTTATAGACTATATTAGTTTCCTAATGCTGTCATAACATTACCACAAGCTTAGTGGCTTAAAACAACACAGATTTATTATCTTAAATTTCTATAGGAGTCTGACATGGGTCTCTCTGGCTTAAAATCAAGGTGTCAGCAGGGATGGATTTCTTCTGGAGGCTCTAAGGGAGAATCTGTTTCCTTGTCCCTTCCAGTTTCTAGAGAATGCGTGAATTCCTTGGCCATGCCTCCCTTTCCTCCATCTTCAAAGCCAGTGAGTATCATTCTGACCTTCCCTGCTTCCTTCCACATTTAAGGACCCTTATGATTATACTGGACCCATCCAAACAACCCAGGGTTATATCCCAATTTTAAGCTCAGCTGATTAGCAACCTTAATTCACATTTGCAATCTTAATTCTCTTTTGCCATCAAGGTAAATTACAGTTTCCAGGAATTTGGATGTAGACAGCTTTGGGGAACTATTCTTCTGTCTACTACTTACAATTTTTTCCATATGTACCTGATAAACATTGCTTTTAGAAGTTGTCTGGGATTCACTTTGAGATTCAGTATTTTGCAGCTATTAAGAGACTCTTCCTGATATTAAAGCATTTTCTTATATTTTACAGTATCAGTTTGACTCTAAATCCCAAAATAAGCTTCTTGAGAGTTTATTGGATATCTAAGGAAATTTTCATTTTCTTATTATCTAGATTGTTGCACCACCTATAGAAAAGAAATGACATTTTCTGTCACTGTCCAGTAACTGCTTATCAGTTCAAAATTTTTGAATCCTTTTTAGGATGGCAATAAGAGTATAAAGATAACTACTACTGAAAAGGGACCTAAAGGTCTAAAACCACCCTAAATAGATTTAAATCTCTTTCTCTCTCTTTTTTTTTTTTTTTTGAAGATTTTATTTGAGAGCCAGAGAGCATAAGCGGGCATAGGTGGGGTGGGGGGAGGGGCAGAGGGAAAGGGAGACGCAGACTCCCTGCTGAGCAGGGAGCCTGAGGCACTGACCTGAGCCAAAGGCAAATGCTTAACCAACTGAGCCACCCAGACACCCCTAAATTTATTTCTTAAGGAAAAACTTAACCCTGCTCTCAACTATTTCATCAACCCATCAGCTGGTGAGATGGTACCTGTTACCGAGCCAAGCTCAGCTCTCAAAATGCCAACCGTATATACCTTTCCAAAATTAGTAAAGCATGTAGCTGTATGCCAGAGCCAGAGAGAAAAGGCTTGGACTCACTGTCAATTTAGATCAAAACTTTCAATAAAAGGGGGATGGGTGAAATAGGTGAAGGGGATTAAGAGGTACAATCTTCCAATTATAAAATAATCAGGGGATAAAATATACAGCAGAGGGAATACAGTCCATTATATTGTAACAACTCTGTAAGGTGACAGAGGGTCCCTAGACTCACTGTGGTGACCATTTCAAAATGTATATGAATACTGATTCACTATGTTGTATACCTGAAACTAATACAATATTGTATGTCAATTATTCTTCAATTTAAAAAAATCATCCCAATATGCTTGTTTTACTGCGGCGCCTGGGTGGCTCAGTTGGTTAAGCGACTGCCTTCGGCTCAGGTCATGATCCTGGAGTCCCTGGATTGAGTCCCGCATCGGGCTCCCTGCTTGGCAGGGAGTCTGCTTCGCCCTCTGACCCTATCCCCTCTCATGTGTTCTTTCTCTCTCATTCTCTCTCTCTCAAATAAATAAAATCTTTAAAAAACAAAATGCTTGTTTTACTTAAATAAAAAAGAAAGAACAATAAAAAATAGTTTTGGAGGATTATCAGGGAGAGAGAGCATCTCTTCTTGAATTAAGGCAGATCTGAGGGTTCATGTACTGGTTCCCACCCTTCAGACATTTGCTTTTACAGGTTTGTACTTGATATTCTACCAGTGTATTTACTTACTGAGCAAGTATTCAAAGTAATTTCATAGACTTTCATATAGTGCTTATGTTTAAATAACAAGTTATAAAAATGTATGTGGCTTACTTGCTTATGTTTTGACAGTATGATACCATCTCATAAAAGCTTCTGTTGTCCCATATTTTCCATCATCATCACTGAACTTATTCTGAATATATCTCCAAAGCCATAATACAAAATACAGTCCGCTTTCATGTCATCTCGACCTATAGTGTGAGAAATCTTGAGATTGCATAATTACTTGAAAATTTCAAAATATGCAAAAATAATATATATAAAATCAGCTGGCAACACTTTATAGTCTAAATATATCACATCTAGAAATTTCAGAGATGTGCAAGGTAATTTGTAGCAACTGCCCTCAAATTTTAAAAAGAAAAAAATGACTACAGAGACATCAACAATCAGCTTAAAAAATATGTGCATAAATAATCTAGTTATTGAAGTTATAAATTTGAAACCACTAATTAGAAATTCAGAAGGCAAAGATGAACATCAAATTATCTTAGCAAACACAGGAAACAATTCATAACACTCCCATATAAGTAAGATAAGCATTTAAATACATAAGTACAAATAAGTATAAAACTGCAAAAAAAGACTTCATTGTTCTAAAAATACTAGCTAATAAAAACAGAATCGTTAAACCTCATCTACAGTGTGTTTTCTAGAAAAGCTTTGTTAAAAGTTACTTCCGGATAGGAGTTATACATACCTGCACATCCACGCTCTTGGTAATAATTTTCAATAGATTTACTCATTGAATGATGAATAACAAACCTCACATCTGCTATATCAATTCCCATACCAAATGCAACCTGTTTACTGTTGCCACTAGTAATTAAAATGTTTAACATTATATGTTAATTAAATCAAGTTAAAATATTTTAAAATGTTAATTAGACTTCTATTGAAGATATATACTTAACCTGAATTTCACTGGCTGACCATCTTCGATGAACATTGGTCTTATCTTCTGGTTCCATATTGGCATGGTACGCTCCTGCGTGAATTCCCAGCTTCTGTAAACTAACTGTAACTTGCTTGGAGTCTAAGAAAAGCAATATATTCCTGTAGTAAAATACGTCCAACTGTTAGATATATATAATTTTTTAACATACATTCAAGATACTGATTAATACAATGCATGGGGGGAAAAGATTTAGAAAAGATTCCAAGGTCCTGAACATATATGACTTTCTGGTATAATTCAAGATTTGATCAGCAGCTTGCTCTAAAGCACAAATAAGCCCTGGGCCACCAGTGTTGGTTCCCATTACCTAGTTTTTCTCTCGAGTATGATGTGAAAAGTTTCCTGTGCAAGTGACTGGGGACCTGCACTGAACACAGGTAACAGATTTCTCTATTTGCAGGGCTGGCCTAAACTTCTCATGTGCTGACTGATATACCCTCTGAAGCTCCAGGTGGAATAAAAAGCTGCAGTCTTTCTCAAATTTGACCCCGGAGCTCCTTTCACCCAGTACACCATTAATATCTCCTGAAAATCTGTAGAAGAGCTTTGAAATGCTACTTTTACACAAACTCTGTGCTTCAGTAACACCTGTCTATGCATTAATCCTGGAACACATAGACAAATACTCTCAACTCCATCTACAGTTAATTCATTCAATATGTACTATTTATTCCTTAATGTGTCCTTTGCTATTAAAGGTCTGTTTTTTACATTCTTTCAGAAAATCACCGTTTAACCTTCTATCTTATACACAGTGGATACTTACTAAACATGTGCTGTTGATAATTAGCATTATGTCATTAGGTCCACTACTTAAAGCAATTAGGTGTAAATAAACAAAAATAAATCAGTGTGACTCTTATAATCTGTCCCATGAGCAAATGACACACCCAATTTCTAAGATCACCAAGCAAATTCATTTTATCATACCATTTTCAAGTATCTTCTGCCATATACTAATATTTTTGGCTGCTAATCATTCATTGGTAGATTAGTGTAATATTGGTTACTTTTCAAAAGTTCTGAGTCTTCAAAGTTGGTTTGTTTTCATATTACCTCACTGCCCTTTGTATCTCCCATTAATGACCTTTACAATACCCTCTATAAAAACTTCAGTGTTGGAGGGCTTCTGCCGAATCTAAGAAAAAGCTAACTTGTTACACAGTATATTAATAGGACCATCCATGTAGCCATTTGCTTACAACTTTCAGGGTGCCATGCTTTTACGGGCACAGTGCTTTTTCTCTTACTCTTATATTCACCTCCTCTGACCCTGCCACCTCCCAGGCTCTTCTTGATCCTTGGTTGTGAATTTGCCAGGGATGAGGAGGCACAGAAGCAGTGAACAACTTAAAAAGATGGAGACATTTTTATTTTCTGATGCTATTTTTATAAAAACATAAAACATGGCATTAATAACTTCAGTGAAAACTCAGAAAAATATTGTCTATTCTTAAAAGGATGAGAAACAATGAAAAAACAGCTGTTAAGTTATATAATCTAAATAGAATATTAGCAAATCTTTAATGGTGTATTAATGTGGTATTTTTTAAAAATATTTTATTTATTTATTTGACAGAGAGATAGAGAACACAAGTAGGCAGAGCGGCAGACAGAGGGAGAGGAAGAAGCAGACTCTCCGCCAAGAAGGGAGCCTGATGTGGGGCTCGATCCCAGCACCCTGGGATCATGACCTGAGCCGAAGGCAGCCGCTTAAAGACTGAGCCACCCAGGCGCCCCAAGTTGAGTTATTTTTAAATGACTTCAATAGAGATGTCATTAGGGTCCTTGGTATCAATCTTCACCTTCCCTCCATACCTGCACAAGAATGTGCATCAATTTCACAAGGCGATGTCTTTTATTTAACCCAGCAAAGGATTATGCAGCAACAGAGATACATGAAGAAAGCATTAATTACTGATCTGCTTATAATCACCTCCTGATTTTAAAAACTTTTAAACAGAGTTAACTGTTACTCATGTAAATAAACATAATGAAAAGGCAACCCCAGCTGCAATCCTTCACGAAAGTAATAAACTGACATAGAAGTTACCTCATAATAAAGATTCGGCCGATTAAAAGAAGCCGTGAAAGTAAAACACTTGTCCACACACAGTATTTTCTGGGCATCCTTCAGAACATGGCTTGTCGCAGTTGCAGTCAGCCCTACTAGTGCGGTGTTAGGGAACTGCCGCTTCAAGATACCAAGTGCCTTGTAATCTGGAAAAGAGAAAACGCCAAGTGGCTCACTTCCTACCTGTAAGGAGTAAGTGACATCTTACCAGTAAGCAGTTAAGCAATGGTTGCTGGATTTCCTTTCCCCGCTCGAGATATCTAATCTGCCGTGGCTGCCCAGCCTTTCGGAGTAGGCAGGCTACTTCTAACTGGTTCTTCAGAAACACTGTTCTGGCCCGCAGGCGAACTCGCTGTTGAAGAGAGGGAATACTAACACTAATACTATTTCCAGTAAGCTGCGCGCTGGTCTGCACCCTCTGACCAGGGGCTCCAAGAGGCAGTGGGAGTGGCCGTAGCGTGCGGAATCTCTTACAACTGACAAGAGGTAAAAGAGGCCATCAGCCGAACCCCTGCTACCACCACTATCCTCCACGTGTGGCAAAATCACACCAGAAAGCTTTTGGTGAATGCGCTGGGTTTTATAGAACTTATTTCCGGAAAACCATTCTGGGCTCATATTTGTCATGAACGTTTCCATCACTAGAAGAGCTGTCCTTAAGTACTTGAACTACTTGGAGAAAGTGGAAAGGAACTGTGGTCAAAACTGCTAAATGCAAAGCTAGAGGACTACTATAAAAACAGAGAAGGTTGCTGTTGGGGAAGTCGTGAAGGTTTCAAGGAGGTAACATTTGAATTGGGTCTGGAAGGACACAAGCTCACTAGGAAGGGCAGAAGAAACCACCAGGCAGAGACACGCACATACACTGCAAAGACACCAGCATGAAATGACCTGTCATAGTCAGACAACAGCCAGCAGGTCCGTCGGGCTAACTCACAGGGTGTCGAGCTGGGTGCATCTACTGTCAACTCTAGGAAGCTGGGAACCACGTTCCCTGTATGGCTCCAGGTGAGGGCTGGCCCAAAAGAGGACCTTGTGCAAGGTAGGGCAAGCAGAAGTGAACCAGCTGCCATGACTCTCTGAAGACCTCTCCAGGCAGATGGGATGAGGGACAGATGCAGAGGTGCCCAGCCAGTTCTAGCTTGTCCTGGTTTTTTTCCACTCTTCCTTCAGTTCTTCTTCCCAACTGTAGGCCTTGCCCACCAACGGGCCCCACTAGATGCTTGGCAGCAGACCCACAGTGCTGATAGCTACTCAGAGGACAGCACTTACCAGAGACATCTCAGGAGCCTCCCTTTGTGGCTCCCTCTGGCACTGGCCATGCCAGGTGGACTCCCCTACAAGCTCCAGTTGATCTCCCACACCAGTGCTTCAGGAAACCAGGGACTTTTCTCTGATCCTCCATCCTTCACATCCCCTGCTCCTCACAGCATTGTACGGGGTCTGCTTCCTAACATAAATCCCTGATCACCTGCCATTCACAGTAGCTCTGCTTCCCTGCCTGCACCTTGACTGATACCGTTACCCTGAAGAGCATAAAAAGGCAGGCTTAAGTAAGACTGGGAACAACATGGTCCATTGACTCTAAGGAGCTAGGACTTTATTCTATAGGAAATGAGTCACCATGTAATTTTTAAAGCGCACAAGGGATATAAAGATTCATCTTTTGGTGGCAGTGCAAAGTATGGGCTGGAAGAGGCAAAGACTAAAGAAAGGAAGATTAGTTCAAAGATGGCAGCAGCAGACCAGAGACCCAGTAAGAATAGGAAACAAGGCATGACAATGAGGATAGAGCAGAAGGAAGAGACTGAATAGAAACCCAAGAACCAGAGCCCAATAAGTCTTGGTGACAATTGGGATATGGGCCTAAAGGAGGCAGAGTGGGGAGCAGGGGGAAGGAAAGAGTCCAAGATTCATCTATTCCTGTCAAGCATGTCTCCAGGCACTAAAGATTTTTTTTCATTTTTTTAATTTAAATTCAATGAATTAACATGTAATGTATTATTGGTTTCTGAGGTAGAGGTCAGTGATTCATCAGTCTTATATAATACCCAGTGCTCGGGGCGCCTGGGTGGCTCAGTCGTTAAGTGTCTGCCTTCGGCTCAGGTCATGATCCCAGGGTCCTGGGATCGAGCCCCGCATCGGGCTCCCTGCTCCACGGGAGGCCTGCTTCTCCCTCTTCCACTCCCCCTGCTTGTGTTCCCTCTCTCCCTATCTCTCTGTCAAATAAATAAATAAAATCTTTAAAAAAAAAAAAATACCCAGTGCTCATTACGTCACGTGCCCTCCTTAATGTCTATCACCCAGTTATCCCATCCCCTCACCTCCTTCCCCTCCAGCAACCCTCAGTTTGTTTCCTGTGATTAAGAGTCTCTTATGGTTTGTCTCCCTCTCTGATTTCATCTTTATTTTTTCCCCTCTTCCCCTATGATCCTGTTTTGTTTCTTAAATTCCACATATAAGTGATATCATATGATAGTTGTCTTTCTCTGACTGACTTGTTTCACTTAGCATAATACCCTCTAGTTCCATCCACGTCATTGCAAACGGCAAGATTTCATTTTTTTGACGGCAGAGTAGGATTCCATTGTGTATATATACCACATCTTCTTTATCCATTCATCTGTTGATGGATATCTGGGCTCTTTCCATAGTTTGGCTACCGTGGACACTGCTGTTATAAAAATTGGGGTGCAGGCGCCCCTTTGTTTCACTACTTTTGTATCTTTGGGGTAAATACCCAGTAGTGCAATTGCTGGGCCATAGAGTAGCTTTATTTTCAACTTTTTGAGGAACCTCCATACTGTTGTCCAGAGTGGCTGCACCAGCTTGCATTCCCACCAACAGTGTAGGAGGGTTCCCCTTTCTCCACATCCTCGCCAACATCTGTCATTTCCTGACTTGCTAATTTTAGCCATTCTGACTGGTGTGAGGTGGTATCTTGTTGTGGTTTTGATTTGTATTTCCCTGATGCTGAGTGATGTGGAGCATTTTTTCATGTGTCTTTTGGCCATTTGGCTGTCTTCTCTGGAGAAATGTTCAGGTCTTCTGTCCATTTCTTGACTGGATTATCTGTTCTTTGGGTGTTGAGTTTGAGAAGTTCTTTATACATCTTGGATACTAGCCCTTTATCTGATAAGACATTTGGAAATATCTTCTCCCATTCTGCCAGTTGTCTTTTGGTTTTGTCGACTTTACTGTCCAGGCACTGAAGATTAAGTGGTGAACAAGACAGAGATGCTATGCAAATGGAAGTACAATTCAAGCAAAGAAACCAGACAAAACAAAGAGTAAACTAATAAGTACGTTATTATCCAAGAGTGAGAAGGGCTCATAGTGGTAAGCCCAGTGTAGTGGGAGTACGACCAGAGAGGAAGGAAGAATAGGAAATTGGGTAGAGACAAACAGGGACAGACCACATATTGCCTTACGGACCCCAGTTAAGAATATGAAATTTATTCTAAGTACAAAGATCTATGGGATTGCCTGGGTGGTTCAGTCAGTTAAGCGTCTGCCTTTGGCTCAGGTCATGATCCCAGGGTTCTGGGATTGAGCCCCACGTCAGGCTCCTTACTCAGCGGGAACCTGCTTCTACCTCTGCCTGCCGCTCCCCCTGCTTGTGTGTGCTGTCTCTCTCTTTCTCTCTCTGATGAATAAATAAAATCTTTAAAAAAAAAAAAAAAAGAAGAAGAAGATCTGCCAGGTAGTTTAGGAAGAGAAGTACCAGAGTTTGAGCTATTATTTGTTCTCAGCTCCAACTCCATCCACCGTTCTGTACCCTGCTCTGTGGTGCTAGAGTGGGGAATCTGCACACTCCATTTTTGCTTTGCCAGCTGGCCCTAGAAAGACAGAGTACAAGCCTGGGGGAGGAAGAAGGGTCTTGCTCCTTCCTTTTTGCTTCATGTGGGCTTGCTTGTGTTCTCAAGAACATCACCCCAGAAGGTTTCTTCATCCCTACTGCAGCACTATGTCTTCATAGGAGCAGCTGAATACAGTTGACCATTTTTCCAAGCTTTGGGGAACCCACTTCATCACAGGTTCCCCCGCACTAAGAGACACCAGCACCAGGGTGCTGTGCCTCCTCAGAGGTCAGAGTTTCAGCTCCACAAAGACCCTCCTCTCAAGCTTATTACTTCCAACCTTGTCTTCCTGTTCAGGAACAAGACAAGGATGCCCACTCTCACCAGTGTTATTTAACATACCTTTGGAAGTCCTGGCCATGGAAATTAGGCAAGAAAAAGAAATAAGAGGCACCAAATTGAAACAGAATAAATAAAACCATCACTATTTGCAGATGACATGAAATTATACACAGGAAATCTTGATTCCGCCAAAAACTCATTAGAACTAAAATTCACTAAAGTAACAGAACACAAAATCACTATACAAAAATCAGTTGGGTTTCTATATACTAATAACAAACCATTAGAGAAAAGAAAACAATTCCATTTACAATTACATGAAGAAGAATAAAATATCGAGGGGTAAATTTAACCAAGGAGGTAAAAGACCTATACATTAAAAACTATAAGACACTGATAAAAGAAACTGAAGATAACACAAATAAATGGAAAGATATTCTGTGTCCATGAACTGGAAGATTTAACACTGTTAAAATTTCCATATACCTAGAGCAGTCTATAGATTCTATAGATTCAATGTAATCCCTATCAAGAATCCAAAGGCATTTTCACAGAACTAGAAACAACCATCCTAAAACCACAAAAGGCCCCAGTAGTCAAAGCAATCCTGAGAAAGAAGAAAAAGCTGGAGGCATTGAACTTCCTGATTTCAAACTATATTACAAAGCTATAGTAATCAAAACAGTATGGTATTAGCATAAAAACAGAAACATGGATCAACAAAACAGAGCAGACAACCCAGAAATAAACCCACACATATATGGTCAATTAATTTATGATAAAGGAGTCAAGACTATACAATGGGGAAGCAAGACTCTTCAATAAATGGTGTTGGGAAAACTAGCCAGCCACATACAAAAGAATGAAACTGGACCCTTACACCATATACAAAAATAAACTTAAAAAGGATTAAAGTCTTAAACATAAGACCTGGAACCATAACACTACTAGAAGAAAACATAGGGGATAAGTTCCCGACACTGATCTTGGCAATCATTTACTGGATTTGACATCAAAAGCAAAGGCAACAAAAGCAAAAATAAGTGGGATTACGTCAAACTAGAAAATGATTCTGTATGGCAAAGGAAACCATCAACATAATGAAAAGGCAACCTATGGACTAGGAGTAAATATTTGCAATTATCTGATAAAGGGTTAACATAAAAACTATACAAAGAACTCATTCAACTCAATAGCAAAAAACCTCAAAAAAATATGAGTGAAAAATAGGCAGAGGATCTGGGAACACATTTTATTCCAGAGAGACATACAAATAGCCAACAGGTGCATGAAAACGTGTTCAGTATCACTAATCATCAGTAAAATGCAAATCAAAACCACAATGAAATATCACCTCACACCTATTAGAATGGCTATCGTCAAAAACACAAGAAATAACAAGCGTGGGAGAAAAGAGAACCCTGGTGCACTGTTGGTAGCAATATAAATTGGTACAGCCACTATGGAAGACAGTGCGGAGGTTCCTCAAAAAATTAAAACTAAAACTATCATATGATCCAACAATTCCACTTCTGGGTATTATCCAAAGGAAACAAAATCACTATCTTGAAAAAGACATCTACACCTCTATGTTCACTACAGCATTATTTATAATAGCCAAGACAGAAACAATCTAAGTGTGCACTGATACATGGATAAAGAAAATATGGTATGTATATATACATACACACACGATGGAATATTATTTGGCCATAAAAAATAAGAAAATTCTGCCATTTGCAACAGCATGGATGGACCCTGAGAGCATTATGCTAAGTGATATAAGTCAGAGAAAGACAAACACTGTATGATATCACTTATATGTGGAATCTTAAAAAAAACTCAAAGATACAGAGAACACCCTCATGGTTGCCAGAGGTGAGGGATGGGGGTGGGCAAAATGGGTGAAGGGGATCAAAAGATTCAAACTTCTAAATATACAAGGAGGCTTGGGGATGTAATGTGCAACCTACTGACTATAGTTACAATACTGTACTATATTTTTGTAAGATGCTAAGGGAATAAATCTAAAACGTTCTCATGAGGACAAAATATTTTGTAACTATGTGTGGTGAAGGATATAAGTGATCATACTGTAATAATCACATCCCAATATATACACACATCAAATACCTACCTACCTTATACAATTAAAACAATGTTACATATCAATAATATCTCAAAATTTTTTTAAGATGGGTACACATTTCCAATAAACAATTAGGAACATAAATCTGCAGCTGAAGAGGAAGAGGACTAGATACGGGAACAACTGATGACAGGTGGCAGCTTATCTGCAGAGACAATGCAAGTAACACACAAGCAAGGGTTCTCATCCGAAGTGATCAGACCACTGAGGCTGGAAAAACAGGGCAAAGGTGAGAAACCTGGTGTTTTCAGTAGCTACAGATAACAACTCTTCGGAGTAGTCTGATTAACATGGTGGGGTCTCCAGTTTAAAGGACAATATATATACTGCCTAAGGCATTTAAATCAAAATTAAAAAAAATAACTGTGCCCCCAATAATTCTGAAGGTAGAGAACTGTGTGTCTTCAGGCCACGAGTCCACCATGTCTGGGGAAGTGTAAGAAAAGGTGAGAAGAGATCAGAACCACAGGGAACACTAACATTCAGGGTGGCAGCAAAGGAAGGACAACAAAGGCAGTGAGAATGCAGAGGAACCACGTCAAAGCCTCTGTCACAGTAACCACAGGAACCACGGGGGCAAGGGGCAAGGAGACAGGTGAACCAGGAAACGCGCCTCCTGCTCCGGAAGTTCATCGGGAAGAGCAATGCAGACGAGCCCCCTGGATTAAGCCAGTGAGGAGTGGGGGGCCACGGTCACCTGTGAGGCAGCAGTGACTCAGTGAATTCAGAAAGGAAGGAAGGTGAGAAACAGATGGTGAGTTTAGAGGATGAGGCGAAAGGAAGAGCAGAAATAGGACACCACCATAAAGGGGTGGGAAAGGTCGAAGGCTATTTCAGTTTCTTTGTTTTTAGAGAGTCTTAAGATTCAGGAGTGACACCTGGGGGCTCAGTTGAGTGTCTGACTCTTGATTTCAGCTCAAGTCATGATCTCAGGTTGTGAGATGGAGCTCAGTGATGCACTCCGGGCTCAGGGCAGAGTTGGCTTTTCCTTCTCCCTCTGCTCCTCCCCCTCCCACTCACTTGCTCACTCACTCTCTCCCTCTCTCAAGTTAAATAAATAAATAAAATCTTAAAAAAAAAAAAAGATGGGGTGTCTGGGAGGCTCAGTCAGTTAAGCGTCTGCCTTCGGCTCAGGTCATGATCCCAGGGTCCTGGGATCGAGCCCCCATCGGGCTCCCTGCTCAGCGGGGAGCCTGCTTCTCCCTCTGCCCCTCCCCCCACTTGTGTTTTCTCTCTCTCTCTCTCTCTCACTCACTCTTTCTCTCTCAATAAATAAATCACTCTTTTTTAAAAAAAATTTTTAAATTTAAAAAATTTTAAAAAACAATGCAGGAGTGAAGACTTTGACAGAGTGAGAGCTTAAGAAGGCAGGAGAGGATGAAGTGGGAGGAGTCATGGTAACCCTTACAAGAAATGGTCTCTTTTACCTTAAGAAGAGAAAACAAGATTACTAATGTATGGAAAGAGAAAGAGGAGACCTCCAGACCTGCTGGCACCTATTTCCTGGGGACCAGGAGGCGTCCACTAAGTAGGAGGTAGGACCTAAAGGGAAGTTAAAGGCACGAAAAGCTTGCTGGGAGAAATGCTTACAGGAGACGCATCAGGAACAAGTAAAAGCACAGCGGGGTCTGACGACAGCGACCTGAGGTGGAAATGAATGCAGCTGTGCAATTTTTTCCCGGCAGCGTTTAGTACTGAAACAGCATGAATGGGGGAAGCAGAAGCCGGGAGCGGTCCAGCAGCTCAGTCTGGCACAGAGCCTGAGGCAGGTAAAATGCCAGGCAATCCACGAGAAACAGAAGTGGCAACAGCAGAGTCTGGAAGGAGGAGAGAGTGACCATCAGGTGGCATTTAGAGCCGTGGACAAATACATGGAGGGATTAAAGGGGACCCTAGGGGTCCATATGTGTGTGAAAGCAGGTTCAAAAAGAACTGTGGTTGAAATCATGAGCAGGATTTCTTAAATTTAAGGTTGTTTTGCACAGAGCAAGTCTGGGGTGATCTGCTTCCGGCTATGACTGCAGGATTAGGTTGGAGGAGTAAAGAACGGGGTTACTAAAATACCCCACAGCACTGTAACCCAGTGGTGATAGTTAGGTATAGACCTGGAAGTGGATGCCAGAGACCCTGACTGACGACTAAAGAAGACACCTCCAAAGCAGATACGAATTCCCCAATGGATGCGAGGGAGAACCCGGTGCCAGTAAACCTTTATGGCTAAAAGTGGGAGAGAATCATGTTGCTGAGAAACATGCATTTCAAGGGATAAAGGCAATCATACTAAGCGTTACCTGGGGAGGGAGTAAAGACATTCAAGACTCTGCCTCTTGGTTCTCCTTATATTAAGGCAAGAGAAAATGAGTAATAACTGGCTGAGGAAATAATTTTAATGAAAGCAAGGATTTCCATCATGTATGTGAGTAAGAAAATAGTCCCTAGTATCAAGGAGTGTTCTAGATACATCATACATACCGGGTCTGAAATCATGTCCCCAGTGGCTACAGCAATGAACTTCATCCACAGCAATCCGGGTAAATCTCCTGGCTTCATAGGCTTTCTCTAGTCTCGACATGAACATTTTGCTTTTTGCGATTTTCTCTGGGGTCACATAAATTAGCTTTAGCTTGGAGTTTTTATTTACCATTTCAGCATGAACCCATTTCACATGCTCCTATTGAAAGCAAAAACAGACACAATGATGGAACTAAGCTAGTAGACTGGGATACTAAGCAGTAAATGAAGATACTCGTTACTCAAGCCACAGCCTTGGACTGTTTTAGCAGATGTTGAGTTCATTAAAACAGACCACGTGCCAGTACTAAATTTAGGGCAACTGTAAATAGCATTTTAGTTGTTTACTTGTACCCAAATGTTGATAAAAGAATAATCTCATTTGACAAAAAAAAAAAATAAAAATAAAAATAAAAATGAAAACACTCCAAGTATTTACTCTATGAAGACATAATTCTAAATTGTTCATAATAAATGCCAAAATATGAACTAAATGCAACAGGGATGATTGTAAAGTTGGGTTTTATTAATTTTAACATTGTATTTGTGATCACTTCATATACCTGAACAAAATTTATTCTTGATTAGCTAGTTACTTTAATGATGCTATCAAATCTACTCAATCTCTTTAGGTTTTGTAAAGCAGCCTATTCATTAAGATTTTGTAATATAAAATATACACTCATATAATAAAAATACATCTTAAAAGCTCACAATTATTGGGTTCTTAGTGCTCTATTTCGTAAAATATTTAGCACATTAGGGGTCATATTTTTCTTTCTAACCTAATTAGGAACAAAACAAGTATAAAGAAACAACTGTGGATGTGATAGACAATGTTCAAACTGCTTTCATTGTCCCAGCAAATTCCTTGAGATATCCTTAAGTTTATTAAGAAATGGCTAAAGTGTATTAAATATTTCAACTGGTCCTTAAATGCCCCAGAAATCTTAGGGAAGCAAATATAAGGCTATTTCCTCAGAAATGGAGAGGTGGAAAAAAAAAAAAGTTATATTCACATCCTATGAACTGCTAGTGAAAGCAAACAGAAAACTGGACTTGACCTTGACCCATCCCTTCTCTTTTTTCTATCTCCAATTTTTCAAACAGCAGTGATGTGGCATGAACGTCTAATTATCTGCAACTTCTAGCTACTTTCTATTATTACTACTCTCTTTTTCAGGGTTAAGGAAGTACAGTAGTAGAAAAAAAATGTTCTCCATATTCGTCCTGTTGAATAGGAGAGCAGTTCAGACATGAGAATTTAAATAAAACAGAAATAGATGGGAAAAACTAAAGGAACCACGGCTACCTGGAGATTTGGCTGACACCAGGTCCAGAGGAAAATATGCAAAATGAGCAGGGAGTAACTTCTCCTAAAAGCAAGCAAGGAGTCAAAAACTATGGGGTGAAGAAAAAAGATTCAGGAGCCAACCTGAAGAGATGCTCACTGCCCAAAGACAGGACTATTTCAGCATAACAAAGAATAATATGGATTAAAATCCATCAAATATGTTAAATATCCATAAGTTTATAATGGTATTAAAAAAAAAAAAAAGACCTTATTGACCCCAGTTAGAAATGTCAGGAAAGCATCTCTTTCTGAAAAACAGTAAAGAAAGGGAAAGAATTTTTGATCTGCAAAGAGTTAACAAGGAACAAGTTCTTTATAGAAAAAGTCTAGCTGATATAAGGAGTGACAGAACGAGAAATCATCACTTTGGAAGCCCCTAATTAAAGCCATTATTTAAGGCAGGCAATAATCATCAGCAGCTCTAAAGCCATTAGACGAAAAGGTGACAGAGAACTTGACAATAATAGAATAGGCAGATATCACCCGAACCCACTGTCCGAGCTTAACATCACACAAAATAACCAGGTTATGATGTACCTCCTGAATCATGCCATGGGAAATATACTCTTGAAAAAAAAAAAGAAAAAGGCCAAATACAGTCAAGCTTCTAAATCTAACTAAAAGGAACAAAATGAACAACATCACAAGGAAGTTATCAGAAAAACTAGGATATAGCAAACTATAAGTCAAAGACCCTGATTTCTTCAAGAAATAATTTAAATTTACATGGGAAACAAACAGGAAATAAGGGAAACCTACAGAAATATCACCAAAATACAACATAAACCATGAATCTATTCTGGACCACAATTTAAAAAAAGAAAACTAAGTTTTGATGAGACAGAGAAATGTGAATATTTTTACTTGATTATTTTAATGAATCAATATTAAATTTTTTAGGTGTGATGATGTCATTATATTTTTCTGATACATACTGAAGGAGTTACAACTGAAATGATATGATGTCTGAGAATTGTTTCAAATAAACAAACCAAGAGGGAGGAGGGAGGGAAAATTCCGGGCATATAAATGAAAAAGGATTGGTCATATGTTGATAATTGTTAAAAGTGGTTAATGGATACTTGGCAGTTTTATTACAATTCTACTTTTCTATACTTTTGGAAATTTCAATAATATCTTTTTAAAAAAAGAATAGCTAGGAAATGCTTATTCAACAGATGAAGGTAAGAGAGTCCATTCTCAAACAGATGAAATTCCACAGAGAAAGGGTACCTTGTTAGTAATATACTGTTTATATTTACTTATCTTGCATAATTAGAAATTCTTGCTTACTATTTTCTAATAGATAATATAAAACAAGTCAGCTAATGTTTACTGTAAAGTGCCAGATAGTAAATATTAGGCTTTGTGGGCCATACAATATCACAACTACTCAGCCATTATTGTGTGAAAACAGTGGTAGACAACACGTAAATGAACAAGCATGGCTGTGTTCCAATAAAACTTTATGGACACTGAAATCTAAATTTCATATAATTTACACACTTCACAAAGTATGCTTCTTCTTTTGGTTTTTTTAATCATTCAAAAATATAAAAAACCAAGCAATAAAGACTAGAAAGTACATAGGCCACCACCAGAAACACCAACTTTATGGGTAACACAATGGCACTAAACTCGTATCTTTCAATAATCACTCAGAATGTAAATGGACTAAATGCTCCAATCAAAAGATACAGGGAATCAGAATGGATATAAAAAAAACAAGACCCATTAGTATGCTGCCTACAAGAGACTCATTTCAGACCTAACAACACCTACAGATTGAAAGTGAGGGGATAGAGAACCATCTATCATGCTAATAGATATCAAAAGAAAGCTGAGGTAGCCATACTTATATCAGACAAACTAGACTTTTTAAAAAATATTTATTTTAGAGAGAGAGAGAGGGGAGAGAGCGTGCGTGGGGGGAGGGGCAGAGGAAGTGAGAGAATCTCAGCAGACTCCCTACTGAGTGTGGAGCCTGATATGCGGCTGGATCTCAAGACCCTGAGATCACGACCTGAGCTGAAATCAAGAGTCAGATGTTTTATCTCAATATCATAAAAGCCATCTATGAAAAACCCACAACGAATATCATTCTCAATGGGGAAAAACTGAGAGCTTTCCCCCTAAGGTCAGGAACACAGCAGGGATGTCCACTATCACCACTGCTATTCAACATAGTACTAGAAGTCCTAGCCACAGCAATCAGACAACAAAAAGAAATAAAAGGCATCCAAATTGGCAAAGAAGAAGTCAAACTCTCACTCTTTGCAGATGATATGATACTTTATGTGGAAAACCCAAACTCCACCCCAAAACTGCTAGAACTCATACAGGAATTCAGTAAAGTGGCAGGATATAAAATCAATGCACAGAAATCAGTGGCATTCCTATACACCAACAACAAGACAGGAGAAAGAGAAATTAAGGAGTCCATCCCATTTACAACTGCACCCAAAGCTATAAAATACCTAGGAATAAATCTAACCAAAGAGGCAAAGGATCTGTACTCAGAAAACTATAATATACTCATGAAAGAAATTGAGGAAGACACAAAGAAATGGAAAAATGTTCCATGCTCATGGATTGGAACAACAAATACTGTGAAGATGTCAAAGCTACCTAGAGCAATCTACACATTCAATGCAATCCCCATCAAAATACCATCCACTTTTTTCAAAGAAATGGAACAAATAATCCTAAAATTTGTATGGAACCAGAAAAGACCCCGAATAGCCAGAGGAATGTTGAAAAAGAAAAGCAAAGCTGGCAGCATCACAATTCCGGACTTCCAGCTCTATTACAAAGCTGTCATCATCAAGACAGTATGGTACTGGCACAAAAACAGACACATAGATCAATGGAACAGAATAGAGAGCCCAGAAATGGACCCTCAACTCTATGGTCAACTAATCTTTGACAAAGCAGGAAAGAATGTCCAATGGAAAAAAGACAGTCTCTTCAACAAATGGTGTTGGGAAAACTGAACAGCCACATGCAGAAGAATGAAACTGGACCATTTCCTTACACCGCACACAAAAATAGACTCCAAATGGTTGAAAGACCTCAATGTGAGACAGGAGTCCCTCAAAATCCTAAAGGAGAACACAGGCAGCAACCTCTTTCACCTCAGCCACAGCAACTTCTTCCTAGAAACATCGCCAAAGGCAAGGGAAGCAAGTGCAAAAATGAACTATTGGGACCTCATCAAGATAAGAAGCTTTTGCACAGCAAAAGAAACAGTCAACAAAACCAAAAGACAACTGACAGAATGGGAGAAGATATTTGCAAATGACATATCAGATAAAGGGCTAGTATCCAAAATCTATAAAGAACTTATCAAACTCAACACCCAAAGAACAAAGAATCCAATCAAGAAATGGGCAGAAGACATGAACAGACATTTTTCCAAAGAAGACATCCAAATGGCCAACAGACACATGAAAAAGTGCTCAACATCGCTCAGCATCAGGGAAATCCAAATCAAAACCTCAATGAGATACCACCTCACACCAGTCAGAATGGCTAAAATTAACAAGTCAGGAAATGACAGATGTTGGCGGGGATGCGGAGAAAGGGGAGCCCTCCTACACTGTTGGTGGGAATGCAAGCTGGTGCAGCCACTCTGGAAAACAGTATGGAGGTTCCTCAAAAAGTTGAAAATAGAGCTACTATACAATCCAGCAATTGCACTACTGGGTATTTACCCCAAAGATACAAATGTAGGGATCCAAAGGGGTATGTGCACCCCGATGTTTATAGCAGCAATGTCCACAATAGCCAAACTGTGGAAAGAGCCAAGATGTCCATTGACAGATGAATGGATAAAGAAGATGTGGTATATATATACAATGGAATATTATGCAGCCAACAAAAGGAATGAGACCTTGCCATTTGCAACGACGCGGATGGAACTGGAGGGTATTATGCTGAGCGAAATAAGTCAAACAGAGAAAGACATGTATCATATGACCTCACTGATATGAAGAATTCTTAATCTCAGGAAACAAACTGAGGGTTGCTGGAGTGGGGGTGGGGTGGGAGGGATGGGGTGACTGGGTGATAGACAGTGGGGAGGGTATGTGCTATGGTGAGTGCTGTGAATTGTGCAAGACTGTTGAATCTCAGATCTGTACCTCTGAAACAAACAATGCAATATACGTTAAGAAAAAAAAAAGAAGATAGCAAGAGGGGAAGAATAAAGGGGGAAATCAGAGGGGGAGACGAACCATGAGAGACGATGGACTCTGAAAAACAAACTGAGGGTTCTAGAGGGGACTGGGGGTGGGAGGATGGGTTAGCCTGGTGATGGGTATTAAAGAGGGCACATTCTGCATGGAACACTGGGTGTTATGCACAAACAATGAATCATGGAACACTACATCTAAAACTAATGATGTAATGTATGGTGATTAACATAACAATAAAAAATTAGAAGAAAAAGAGTCAGATGTTTGACTGAGCCATCCAGGCACCCCTAGACAAACTAGGTTTTATTTTATTTTATTTAAAGGTTTTATTTATTTGAGAGAGAGAGTGCACAAGCAGGGAGAGTGGCAGAGGGAGAGGAGGCTCCCTGCTCAGCAGGGAGCCTGATGTGGGGCTCGATCCCAGTACCCTGGGATCATGACCCAAGCTGAAGGCAGATGCCTGACCAACTGAGCCACCCAGGCACCCCTTGATAAACTACATTTTAGACTGAAGACTGAAACAAGACATGAAGAAGGCCATTATATCATAATTAAGTAGTATATCCATCAAGAAGATCTAACAATTGTAAATATTTATGCCCCCAACTTGGCAGCACCAAAATATGTAAAGCACTTATTAACAAATATAAAGAAACTCATTGATAATAACATAATAATACTAAAGAACTTTAGCACCCTGCTTGCAGTAATGGACTGATCATGTAAGCAGAAAATCAACAAGGAAACAATGGCTTTGAATGACATACTGGGCCAGAGGGAGTTAACAGATATATTCAGAACATTTGATCCTAAAGCAGCAGAATACACATTCTTTTCAAGTGCACATGGAACATCCTCCAGAATGCATCACATAGTGGGTCACAAATCACCCTTTAACAAGTCCAAAAAGATCAAGATCATACTATGCATATTTTCAGACCACAACACTATGAATATTGAAGTCAACCACAAGAAAAAATTTGGAAAGACCACAAATACATGGAGGTTAAAGAACATCCTACTAGGGCGCCTGGGTGGCTCAGGTGGTTGAGCAACTGCCTTTGGCTCAGGTCATGATCCTGGAGTCCCGGGATCGAGTCCCGCACTGGGCTCCCCGCTCAGCGGGGAGCCTGCTTCTCCCTCTGACCCTACCCCCTCTCATGCTCTCTGTCTCTCATTCTCTCTCTCGCAAATAAATAAATAAAATCTTTAAAAAAAAAAAAAAAAAGAACATCCTACTAAAGAATGAGTGGGTTAACCAGGAAATTTAAGAAGAAATAAAAGTATATGGAAACAAGTGAAAATGAAAACACGACAGTCCAAAATCTTTGGATTGCAGCAAAGGCAGTCCTAAGGGGGAAGTATATTCTAATACAAACAAGCCTAATTCAAGAGGCAAGAAGTCTCAAATATATAACCTAACCTCACACCTAAAGGAGCTAGAGAAGGAACAGCAAATAAGGCCTAAAGCCAGAAGAAGGGAAATAATAAACATTAGAGCAGAAATAACAATTTCAAAATTAGTTTAATAAAGCTAAGCAAAAATGCATTTAATGATATATGATAAGAAACAGTATGTCAAAAAAAATAAATATTTGCCAGTTGAGAGTTAACCTACAAAGAAGAGGAAGGTGCTTGATAAGTATTCAAAAAACAGTCTGAATGTTGATAAGGGAATTCAAAATACCATAAAAATCTCAAATATCATCAAGTTAACAATTATGTAGAATTTATGTAAATATCTTGTTTAGAAGTGAATCCCTGGAAAGCAAGGCCCACAAAAGCATTGCAATTTTAGAGTCATAGTATTCCATTATAATGTGACAGCCAGTGATAAACATGATGCTTAGCAAGATCTTGAATCAAGAAAGGTGTGTTCACTAGGGCAGGAAAATAAACCAGACTTTGGCAAGAAGTTTGAATCTTTTTTTCTTGTTTAATTTTTCTCTAGTTAAAACTTAGAAAAGTTAGGTAAGAATCTTCTTTTTCCAAGCATTGACTGACGCTGCTAGAACCATATTTGGAAAAAATTATGAAGTGTGAATAAGAAAAGCTTCATTTAAAAAGAACATGGGTAAGAATGGTTTGCCTACGGGTTTCCCATGCCACTTGAAGAGTGGCCAATTTTCCCTCTAAGCCGCTGGAAAGCATTGATCCAGGAACAATGATTAAACTCCCGCGTAAAGAAACAAGCAGAAACAAAACTTGCAAAGAAAAACAGAATAAACCTTTATTCCAAGCAGCAGGTGAAGAATCCCATTCACTGCTTTTCCCAGCATCAGAAGCCTGTAAATGCTGCTTTATTCGGTTTGTTAGGATGTTCTTTTTCTGAATGAGCTCTTGTTGCTTTTCCAGAAGTTCCTGAATTTGAAGGTCTACTGCATGTAGCTCATTGGTTATAGAATCCAATTCCTCAAAGCTATAAGAAAGGAAAAAAAGATACAATGACTAGTTTTAAGTTTCCCTACTGATTTTTGGATATTCCTCACCATTGAAATTACAAACTTAGTAGTTGAGCAGGGTGGTTAAGGGCAGGTGTGCTGGAGTCACACGACCTGAGTTATATCTTAGGTCCTCATCCCAGCTCAGGCTAAGTACTTAACTGAGCCTCAATTTCCCCATCTGTAAAAGGCGATAATACCTAGCTTTCATAGTACTGTTTTAAAGAATTAAGTGAGATAATATATGGAAAGTTCTTAACATAGTACCTGGAACAAAGTTATGCATTTAATAAATGATCATTATTATTTTTTATTGTGTTGTAGGGAGTGGTCCTAAGTCATTTAAGTAAAGTGACCAGACTTTAAAGCAAAAGAAAGCTAATTTTTTTTTTTTTTTTAGAGAGGCAGAGAGGGAGAGTGTGAGCGGGGAGTGGCAGAGGAAGAAGGAGAGAAAGACCGTAAGCAGGCTCCACGCTCAGTGCAGAGCCCAACACGGGGCCCGATCTCACAACCCTGAGATCATGACCTAAGCAAATATCAAGAGTCAGATGCTTAACCAAGTGAGCAACCCATGTGCCCCAAGAATGCTATTTAAAAGTAATTCCCTTAACTACTTAGCTATTATTTCACAAAAACACTTATATTTGGGTTCATATGTTGGCATGATGAGGAGCTGATGATTATAAACAAGCTGACGTAACAATAAAAAGAGAACTGGAATTGACATTACAATTCCATCATAACTAATTTATAAAGCAGCCTTAATGTATGATTCTAATCAATCTGAGTATTAAAGCCAAAGTGAGATTTGTTTTGACACCACACCAATGGAAACTAAAAAAATTTTTAAAGATGTCCTTGGTGCTTTCTAAAACATCTGCCTGCATTAATCAGTGTCCGGCTTTAATCCTGAAATTTTCATAAGATGAAACCTCATGGTTATGACTTAAAATAGGATGTTATGGTGGCTGTGTATTGTACCAACTACCAGCATTCACTTCCTTCCAGGATTCTGGGTTAGGACTGGCCACAAGTGAACTCCACTTCAGACTTGGAAGGCAGAAATGAAACAGCAGCAGCTTTACGTTCAGATGGCTGGTGTAATGTCAGGTGCTGTTGGGGCTCATTCACCTTCTTGGCATCGGGCAGAAGCCAGTTCCTCCAGCTCCTGCTGAATCTCTTTGGGGCAGCAGCTTGGCCCACAGCTTCCTCAGCTTCTCTGAATTGTTGGGCCATGTTCTGTAATTTTCTATGGCAAGCGCACCAGCCCTTCTGCAGGGCACCAGCATCCTGACAGTCAGAGCCTTGGAGGCAATGACACGCCGACATGAGTGCAAGCGAGAGACAGACAGGTTCCACTTTGTCCTCATTGGTTTCAGCTCTTCTTTACCCTCCCACACTCACACTCCATCTTCCTGTCCCTACTGCTGGCACTGCTGACTTCAGGACCAGTAATGGACTGATTAACCACGTCCTGTGATCACGTAGGAGCTAATTCCTATAATCTATCCCTTATATCACTCATAATGATTCAGCTTCTCTGCACCCTAACCAACACCAAATGTTGTTCCAGAGGAAAAGAAAGTTAAAAGTAGGTTCTCTAAATTGCTTCTATGCCACCTAGAATAGTCTCTGATTTAAAGATTTAAAGGCATTAATGACCCTTGCCTGCAGTGGTAACAGGGACAGTGGTATTCCATGGCATGCAGTAGACAAAGTTATGTAAATTATAATCCAGACACTAATAATTAAGTATCTAGAGAGGAAAAGGCTCTGGGTGACCAAGTGTTTGCTGTCACAGAACAATTTTGTGAGAATAATGGGGTTGATTATCTGCTCCTAAATATGCTGAAGAAGCTGAAGAAATGCAGGATCTGCATAAAGGGACCTCAAAGTCTCTATAACTGTCCTAAAAGAACCCCTTATCTCCTGTAGCTACCGGGCCAAGATCACTGAATACCAACATTCTGCAAGTGGCTGAATTACAATGCAAACTGAACTCCCAGCCTTGCACAGACTCTTATGTTAAAGTTAAGGGCACTGATTAGAAAGAAGTGAGACTCTGCAATTGGGAAGGGAACATCTGGGCAGATTCCAATGAAGCAGGCCGGGGACCTTAAACCACTAAATTCTGCCGAGTCTCTCTTGCCCTTCCTCCTCTTCCTCAGACAGCTTTCCCCTGTCTGAATGCCTGTGATGGTCTTTCCTGAGAGAGTTGCCTCACAAGGGATCGCTAAACTCCACTAAGAATCTGCCCTGCCACCTATCAGCACTTCAAGAATAGGAAGCCCTAGAGAATGATGTACAAATGAGTGACACATGAAGAGACATGAAACACACCAAGAGTTGCACTTGCCAATATATATAAGCATTCCTCATTTTATTGTGCTTTGCTTTACTGTTTCGCAGAAATTGAGCTTTTTAAGAAATTGAGTTTGTGGCAACCTGTGTTGAGCTGGTCTATGGGCACCATTTTTCTAACACCCTTTGCTTACTTCATGTCTATTACATTTCGTAATTCTTATAATATTTGAAGGTTTTTTATTATTACAATTGTGATGGTAATCTGTAATCAGTGCTCTTTGATACTATTATTATAATTGCTTTGGGGAACCACAAACCACACCCATATAGGACGGAAATCTTAATAAATGGTGTACGTATTCTAATTGCTCTACCAACCAGCCATTCCCCAGTCTCTCTCCCATGGCCTTTCCTATTCCCTTAGACACTTCTATACTGGAATTAGGCCAGTTAGTTACCCTACAATGGCCTCTAACTGTTCAAATGAAAGAAAGAGTTGTACATCTCTCACTTTAAATAAAAATCTAGAAGTGATTAAGCTTAGTGAGGAGGCCATGTCAAAAGCCAAGACAGGCTGAAAGCTAGGCTTCTTGAGCCAGTTAGCCAAGTTGTGAATGCAAGGGCAAAGTTCTGAAAGGAAATTAGAAGTGCCAGTGAACATATGAATGATAAGAAAGAGAAACAGTCGTAATGCTGATATGGAGAGAGGTTTAGTAGTCTGGATAGAAAATCAAACCAGACACAACATTCCCCTAAGCCAAAGCCTAATCCAGAGCAAGGCCTCAACTCTCTTCAATTCTATGAAGGCTCAGAAAGGTGAGGAAGGTGCAGAAGAAAAGTATGAAGCTAAAAGAGGTTGGTTCATGAGGTTAAGGAAAGAAATCATCTCTATAACATAAAAGTGTAAAGTGAAGCAAGTGTTGATATAGAAGCTTAGCAAGCTATCTGGAAGATCTAGCTAAGATAATGAATGAAAGTGGTTACCCTAAACAGATTTTCACTGTAGACAAAATAGTCTTATATTGGAAGAAAGATGCCACCTAGGACTTTAATAGCTAGAGAGGGGAAGTCAATGCCTGGTTGCAAAGCTTCAAAGAATAGGCTCACTCTCGTTACAAAGTAATGGAGCCAATGTTCACTTACCATTCCAAAAATCACAGGGGCAAGAATTATGCTAAATTGTGTTCTGTAAACCTCGATGGTAGCACATCTATTTAAATGTGTTTACTATATACTTTAAGCCCACTGTTGAGACCTAGTGTTCAGAAAAAATATATATATATTTTTTTTCATTGACAATCCATCGAGTCATCCAAGAGCTCTGATGGAGATGTCCAAAGAGATTCATCTTATTTTCATGCCTGATAACACAACATCCATCTGCAACCCATGGGTCAATAAGTAATTTTTGACTTTCAAGTCTTATTATTTACAAAATACATTTCATAAGGCTACAGCTGCCACAGATAGGGATTGCTCTGATGGATCTGGGCAAAGTCAACTGAAAACCTTCTGGAAAGGGCTTGCCACTCTAGATGCCATTCAGAAAATTTGTGATTCATGGGAAGAGGTCAAAACATCAACATTAACAGGCATTCAGAAGAAGTTGATTGCAACTCTCATGGATGACCTTGAGGTTCAAGATTTCAGTGAAGGAAGTCACTGCAGATATGGTAGAAATAGCAAGAGAACCAGAATGAGAAGTGGAGCCTGAAGTTAATTGCTGCAACCTCATGATAAAACTTTAATAGAGAGGAGTCATCTTATGGATGAGTGAAGAAAGTGGTTTCCTAAGATGCTGTGAAGATTGCTGAAAGGACAAAAAGGGATTCAGAATATTACATAAACTTAGTTGATAAAGCAGCAGCAGGCTTTGAATGGATTGGCTCCAATTTTGAAAGAAGTTCCACTGTGGGCAAAATGCTATCACATGTACAGAAAAATCATGGGAGGAAAAGTTTATGATGTGGCAAACTTTATTGTTTTAAGAAATTGCCACAGCCACCCCAACTTTCAGCAACCGCCACCCTGATTAGCTAGCAGCCATCAACATCAAGGCACAACTCTTCAGCAGCAAAAAACATCACACTCAAAAAAAAAAAAAAAAACCATCACACTCACTGAAAGCTCAGATGATAGCTAGCATTCTTCAGCAATAACATGGTTTTAATTAAGGTATAAACATTGTTAAGACATTCTAATGCATACTTAATAAACCATAGTTTAGTGTAAATATAATCTTTATACGTACTGGGAAACCAAATAACTCTTTGGCTTGCTTTGCTGTGATACTGGCTTTATTGTAGTGGCTGGAAACAAAACTGTAAGATCTCTGAGGTATGCCTGTATCACCAAAAAAGTAAGGCATAATTGTGGGAAGAGATCCTAAGGGTACTAAGCCAGAGTGAACAGAATAAAATCTTGAATGAACCTAAATTTACTGATATGGACTCAATATGAAATTCTGGTTTATTGTGTTAAATATAGTGGCCAGGAGTGGCTCTAATAATTTATTTAGCTGCTTGCTAGAAACCTGGCTCCAAAAATGAATATCAGAAAGTTGGGCTGGAATGACACAGGGGTAGATTCCAAAGACATTGAAGGGCTAGAACTCCCTGGCTATGCCCTAAAGGAGGAATCCAGAGGCTTAGGGAGATGGGAATGCCAGAGTCTC